CGTTTTCCTCTCCCCTACGGACTGGTTGGTGTTATCCCGGCCCCAGCCCTTGACGCTGCAGAGGATTATCCCGCAAGATGGCGGGTGTGCTAGTCACCATGACGCAGGGCCTGGTGCCATGCACTTCTGACCCGTCTAGCCTACATTGCACACCATACCCAAACTGGAGGCAATCTTTGCAAGCTTCTGGATTGCTCTGAAGGGGAGAAGGAAGCTGGTGATTCCTTGCCCTGACAGAGGGGCCCTCACATGCAACTCAACTCTTCCACCATATGCTTGCCTACACCGAGGCCCACCCGAGGAGCAACCTTACCATATCGCCAAGAAAGGCCGCATGTTACCAATGACAAAAATCATTGTCAATCATTGCTCAACAGGCCGCAGATATTCTCCTGGATCGGCAGAAATTGGCCTTTATGGCTCCCTGGAGGTGACAGCAGCTTTGGTCTGGGGCTGGTGGGAAGCTTCATTTGGCTACTTGGTCTGTGCAAACAAGTAATATGTATGCCAATATGGATATTGGCTGACTGTGTCCTGTTTATCCATGTTTATAAAACAGCTGAAGTGGTCTGGGTGCCTAGAGTGGTCCTTTAAGATTATTTTTATTATTATTTTTATTGTTCCTCAACTTTTAAAAAAATGCTGGTTAAAAAAACAAATCTCTTGTTGACTCATGATGCTTGGTGCAATGGTAGAGACATATGGTGCACTATATCCTTTCCAACATGTAGGGTCACAAGTCATGTTATCAAGCCACCATCTTGGTTTGAGCAAACAATTTGGCAGAATATTAAAATATCTTCTTCTAGAGAACCACATATACTAATGCTCAACAACTTACCGGTGATTAGTCACATGATTTGGTAGCCATATTGTATTGTCCATATTTTTTTCAAACATTTTCTTCTCTTAAACCACATTTTTAGAACAGCATGATATCTGCCATACATGTCCACAGTTCTTTACCATGGTTATTCACAGTACGTAAGTCGATATCATAATCAAGATAGCCGTCAGAGTATTTATTTCACTGTTAAATATATGGTTTCTCAATAGCAATAGTGAACGGTAATATGGAATCTGGCATCTTTGTAATGTATTTGTCTACATACAATGACCATGGATACGCTTATTCACACTCTTATGCTTTGCCAATTATGGTTAATAAGGTATGCAGTTTAGAAGCAATTTTGAAATTGTCATCAATAGAATAAGGGCTATTGGAACAGTGGGACAGGACCCCCAGCTGAAATTGGATTTATTGTGAGGCCTCTAAGCATTTGTCTAGGAGTGTGCTATACCCATACTCTCATGCTTGGCCACCATAACTACTACAAATGTATTGAGTAGATATACTGCAGGGACTTTTCTACACTTTCTTTTTTTTTTTTTTTATTCTTTATTTATTCCAAAACAGGACATTTTATACAGTGCGTACATAACCCTTGGCAGACATTCGCAAAATACATACAAAATACTTCGATTCTCAGACTTCAAGATACAGCATTATCCACAAGACCGCGAAACTGTGAACAATCACAAACTTCGTGAACGTGTGTAGCGGTTGTATACATAGTTGCCAATTTGTGGTCACTTCCCCTTCTTTACCCGCCCCGTAAGTAATTCCATTTGGTGTTTTTTTTTTTTTTCATGTTAAGATAAAATAGAAGAAAATAGAGGAAGATATATAACTATCGTGCTATATCGTGCTCTAAGAGCCGCCAGGGGCACATATGAATGTTTGCGTTTGCTTTTCCAGCTACGTCATTTACCCCTGGAAATTCCTATGTGTATGATCGTTTTAATGTAAAGCACGTAGAGAATTGTTCCATGATCTGAACTATCCCCAGAAAAGAAAAGGACAGTTCCCTCGAAGGCCCGAGGGAAAAGAAAGATACAGGTATGCATGAATATGGAAAAGAGAGAATGGGGGTGGGGATGGGGAGGAAAAACTCCAGGGAGGCCCGACCTGTGAGAATCACACGACAAAAAGTGTCACCTCATTGCTACCATTTATCCCACCTGACTCATAGGTGCCCATTCTCAAAGAGGGGTGAGTTTGGAAGAGGCGGTCTCTAACTCATCGTTATATTGCCCTGAGTGATTTTCTACACTTTCTTACTTGGCTTTCCAAATATTTGTACAGCATGATCATGAATGGCATGCTCGCGTAGAGCAAACAAGCCTTGTTGATTTCAAAGCATTGTGCTGCGAATGAGTGTTTGTGAGTCAGGCACTAGTGAAGTTTGATGTTGCGCCATTGGTGTTGTCATTCGATATGATGGGTGGACGTTTATGAGTCAACACCTTTTAAACTGTCACTGTGACATTTGCCCTGACTTTCTATTCATTCTCTAAGACTAGGATTTGTTACTAAGGGCTGGTCAGCACACAAGCAAATAGTCCTCAGTAATTGCCAGTTAATACATGACGCAAACATGGGAGGACCTTCAGTATCATCAGACGCCACATCTGCAATATATAAAATATAATTATCAGCTGAATCTGAATAACAGAGGATTTCTTTTCTCCTACACCCCCATCTCTTGCTCACAGGGCTTATCTTTTGGATTTCCCATTTTTGTCTTTCCTAACTATAAGGTAGTGTCCAATCATTAAAAAACACACAACAACAACTGAAAAAAATACCCACAACATAAAAAACGAGTTATGTAAGGAAACATGTAAACTTGTTAGCGTTTGTTCATTGCAATATACTGAAAATGGTAAATAAATCAACTCATTTTGGGTTTATTCACCGAACAATTTATTATAGTGGCTTGAAACTAAAACTCTAAAAAGTAGGAAAAAGGCGGTGATTTGGTAAAACGTGTCTAACTAAGCTGTAGCAACATCTTGGCTACATTGACCTATATTTTGCAATATGGTTTTCAACCCACTAAAATTTGCTGCAATAGTTAGTCACTAAACTCAATAAAATGTAGGAAAAAAACAGTCTATCTGGTCTAAATAACTCAAACCTCTCCAGGGATATATTCGGACTGCAAAATCTGGGCATTGTTCACAAGATTTATCAATGTCTGTATTTTGCAAAGAAAAAGTGAGCATTGCCTTGTATGTAGTCTGAATTATGTAAATACACAACCAAATGCTCATATTCATCAGACCCTGCCACTATCTGCCTGCAAAGTCCATTCAACCAAATGTACACAATTTAGTTGAACTACATTTGCTGGCTGATAGTGGACAATTTCAGTACAAATCAGGACTTTGCAAAGATCTGTCATTACATTGGCATCATTTACATAGCTGACTCCTCGAAAGAGAGGGTTACATGATTCTTTAGATTGTAAACTTATGGGCAGGGTCCTCTAACTTTGACCTGTTTATATTGTATTGTCTTTTCCCCCAATTGTACTGCGCTGCGGAATAGGTCAGTGCTTTATAAATAATAATAATAAGAAAGTATTATTTAACCAGGAAAGGTACATTCAGATTACTCTGGTTTTCAAGTACGTCCTGGGGATGTTACTTTTGCCCCAAGACCAGAGGTCGTTACTTTTTCCCCCACGTCCAGGGGTCGTTACTTTTTCCCCACGACCAGGGGTGGTTACTTTTGCCCCACGTCCAGGGGTGGTTACTTTTGCCACACGTCCAGGGGTGGTTACTTTTGCCCCACGTCCAGGGGTCGTTACTTTTGCCCCATGTCCAGGGGTGGTTACTTTTTCCCCACGTCCAGGGGCCGTTACTTTTGCCCCACGACCAGGGGTGGTTACTTTTGCCCCACGTCCAGGGGTGGTTACTTTTGCCCCACGTCCAGGGGTTGTTACTTTTGCCCCACGTCCAGGGGTGGGTACTTTTGCCCCACGTCCAGGGGTGGTTACTTTTGCCCCACGTCCAGGGGTTGTTACTTTTGCCCCACGTCCAGGGGTGGTTACTTTTCCCCCACGTCCAGGGGTGGTTACTTTTTCCCCACGTCCAGGGGTCGTTACTTTTTCCCCACTTCCAGGGGTGGTTACTTTTGCCCCACGTCCAGGGGTCGTTACTTTTTCCCCACGTCCAGGGGTCGTTACTTTTTCCCCACTTCCAGGGGTGGTTACTTTTGCCCCACGTCCAGGGGTCGTTACTTTTTCCCCCGTCCAGGGGTCGTTACTTTTCCCCCACTTCCAGGGGTCGTTACTTTTGCCCCACGTCCAGGGGTGGTTACTTTTTCCCCACGTCCAGGGGTCGTTACTTTTTCCCCCACGTCCAGGGGTTGTTACTTTTTCCCCCGTCCAGGGGTTGTTACTTTTTCCCCACGTCCAGGGGTTGTTACTTTTTCCCACGTCCAGGGGTCGTTACTTTTTCCCCCACGTCCAGGGGTCGTTACTTTTTCCCCACGTCCAGGGGTGGTTACTTTTGCCCCACGTCCTGGGGTCGTTACTTTTTCCCCCACGTCCAGGGGTCGTTACTTTTGCCCCACGTCCAGGGGTGGTTACTTTTGCCCCACGTCCAGGGGTGGTTACTTTTGCCCCACGTCCAGGGGTTGTTACTTTTGCCCCACGTCCAGGGGTCGTTACTTTTTCCCCCACGTCCAGGGGTCGTTACTATTACCAATTTAATGGTCCTCGTTTTATCTACCCCTGAAGGATGAAGGGCTGAGTTGCCAGTAATAAAGAAATAAAATGATGCCCTGATAATTAAAGCAGAAATGTTTTGGTTATCAAAGGCTAAATATATTATTTCCCAAACATTATGCTTTATATTAATATGATTTATTGTCAATATATTGTTCTTATGAATGATTTATTATGATGAATTATAATAATTGTAGAGAATTGACCAAGGATGGCTGGAGTGGGAAAATAACTTAGATATATTTTATTTTATTTGAGCCTCTCTCCACATTTCCTGGTTTTAGTCAATGATTATTTTTTTTGTTGGTGAGGCCAGCGCGGGTGACGTCACCGTTGTAAACAGCAGCCGCTCTGAGCGGTTGCCATGGCAGCGGGGAGCGCGGTGCGTGCGCCAGGTGGCGCTCGCACATCTGACGGCGCGCTCTGGGATCGGCTGCTGCTGTCTGCTCTCCCTCAGGCGGCCCGAGCGACATGTTAGGAGGGGAGCGGGCGGCGGCGGAGGTGGCGGGACCCAGCGAGGAGACGAGCAGCCCGCCACAGAGAGCCAGGACGGCTGGCACGGGCAGCGAGTGACGGACTGAGCGAGCACAGCCGGCCCAGCCCCCCCCCGAACCGACCCGGGACAGACAGACAGACAGACAGAGAGCCAGGGGGGAATCACAGGACGGTGACGGTGCTCTGGGCCGGGACAAGATGGCGGCGGCGGCCGGAGCGAGCTGAGCATGCAGAGGGGCCCCGCTCACTGCCTGACATGTCCGGCACAGCCCTGCACGCTGCACCTCCTCCTGCTCTATGAAGGTAAACAACCACAACAACAACGGCTGGACTGCCACTCCCAGCACCCGGGGGACAGAGGGAGAGGGGGCTGGCTGGACTGCCACTCCCAGCACGCTCAGCCCCCGGGGAGAGAGGGCTGGCTGGACTGCCACTCCCAGCACTCACAGCCTCCGGGGGACAGAGGGAGGGGGCTGGCTGGACTGCCACTCGCAGCACGTTCAGCCCCGGGGAGGGAGGCTGGCTGAGCGTGATCCCACTCGGTATAGCTGTATCTGGAAATACGAGTGCAGCTGCTTATTCCTTGTGACATTATAGGGAGGGAAGGGGGGGGTTTAATATTGGGGTACGGGGGGGGGGGGGGTATAACGCTTGATACGTTATGTTATTGTGGTAGTTTTACAACACTAGACAGGACACTTTGTTTGGTGAAGGTTTGTGTCAGTAAATTACATTTGGTAGAACAAGAAGAAAGGGGTGAGAACCAAGGAGGGTAGGAATAGTTATTTATTGCTGGTTTATAGTATGGGGGTATATTGTGGGATGAGCACCAAGGAGGGTAGGAATAGTTATTTATTGCTGGGGTATATTGTGGGATGAACACCAAGGAGGGTAGGAATAGTTATTTATTGATGGGTTATAGTATGGGGGTATATTGTGGGATGAGCACCAAGGAGGGTAGGAATAGTTATTGCTGGTTTATAGTATGGGGGTATATTGTGGGATGAGCACCAAGGTGGGTAGGAATAGTTATTGCTGGGTTATAGTATGGGGGTATATTGTGGGATGAACACCAAGGAGGGTAGGAATAGTTATTTATTGCTGGGTTATAGTATGGGGATATATTGTGGGATGAGCACCAAGGTGGGTAGGAATAGTTATTGCTGGTTTATAGTATGGGGATATATTGTGGGATGAACACCAAGGAGGGTAGGAATAGTTATTGCTGGGTTATAGTATGGGGGTATATTGTGGGATGAACACCAAGGAGGGTAGGAATAGTTATTTATTGCTGGGTTATAGTATGGGGATATATTGTGGGATGAGCACCAAGGTGGGTAGGAATAGTTATTGCTGGTTTATAGTATGGGGGTATATTGTGGGATGAACACCAAGGAGGGTAGGAATAGTTATTGCTGGGTTATAGTATGGGGGTATATTGTGGGATGAACACCAAGGAGGGTAGGAATAGTTATTGCTGGGTTATAGTATGGGGATATATTGACAGTGGTGAGAACCAAGGAGGGTTCGAATAGCTATTTATTGCTGGGTTATAGTATTGGGGTATATTGACAGTGGTATATTGTGGGGTGAGGGGCAGAGGAAAGCCAGTTTGCGTTAAGAAGGGTTTGTATTCTGATGTAGAAGTAATTTGTGAGGAAGATGGTGGTGAGAGGCATAGCCTGCCTCAAGGAGAGGATAAGGGGACTCAGGACAGATTTAAATGAATACTGTTTGGGCTTTTCTTCTTATCATTATGTATAGTGTGCCACTTGTTTCCCTTAGTGCAATACAATGGGTTCATAATACGTTCACAAACAGTAAACAAGTTTGACATCCAAAGGGAGAAGTAGTGTGGGTTATTGTGTGCGATGTGTGGAGAGCAGAGAACCTTTATGCGATATTGTAAGAGAGGCTGCAGTATTGTTGTTGAAGATAAACCGTACTAAAGCCTGCCATGAGTGCCAGGGGACCAGGACGCTATTGGAAGAGGTATGGCACAGTTTCCAAATAAGTGGGATTATTACAGTGTTGGCTGTCTTTCTGAGGAGACTGTAATGGCAGCAGTTTAATGTTTGTGAATCACGAAGGGTGAGGTCCCTTGGATCAGGATAAAGAATAGAAATGTTTCAGTAGAGGTATTCCAGAAAAAGCTTTCCTGTTAAGTATCCACATCTCACTAATACGTACCCCGTGTATCAACACTTTTATCAAATTAAACTGCTGAAAACATAGAAAAAAAATTTCTGAGTACATGCATCACATGCCATGAAACTTGGAAGGCACAATTTGTTAGTGGTTGAGAATGTACAGACACACAGCGAGTAAAAGCCATAATGTGGCATTTGTAGTGTTTTATAGTTTGCTTCATTCATATTGTTTATTATATGTAATGTACTGCTGTTGTCAAGTGGAGTGGATCTTGATTTTGTATCTTTTGTTGTGGTGTGTAAAAGCTCATGCATTTGTTGGAAATACAGATTTCTCTGGACAATAATGCGTTAATCTGTTAAGTAATATTCAGTTTAGCTATGAAATACATCATAACTAATGAAAGTAACACTTTTTAGTTTCTCTCCTGGTTTCCCTGTTTTTGAAACTCTATTAGAGTACTTATTACTATAACATGTATAACACGTATCATTCGTAGTCTTTACTTGTGCTAGTATGCATAGTCAATGAAATGTCAGTATAAGAAAATCACCCTACCACAGAAACCACAATAGAAATCTATTTGGAACCTTTCTGATTGGATCAATTTTCCTCTCTCTCATGGCTAGGTTTGTGTCAACATGTTGAGGCCTGATGTGTTCATACGGGGTGGAGATTGAGAGGGCGTGATGGAGGTGTCAGCTCAGGACTGCTGAGACCATCACATTCCACAGTGTTCTGGGGCTCTAATCATTCACACAGGGAGGCTGGTAGTGCAAAGCCTGGAAAGGATATCACATGGAGAGACTATCAAGCTTAGACACATACTCATCATTTCTACATATCCTAAAGCCCCCTCTTAATCACGTCCCACTTTTCTATCATCGCTCGCAGATCCCTATTTTTTTTTTTTTTTTATTGCTTTCCTCTTTATAAAAGCTTTAAACTATATTAAACCTTATTCATGTCCATCAGGCGTTCATCTCTTAGCATTGAACGCTGAAAACCTAACAATTTTCAAGACTTTTATATTTTGCTCTTTATATGCTTCTACCTGATTAATATCCACTTTACACTATTTTTGGCCACTGTCATCAAATTCTTCAAAATTGTTATTGAAATTTCCTTGAGTCTGCTTCATTATTATCCTTTTTCCAACTCATTATTTTCATAGATTTGTTTTCCTTGCGTACAATGTAACTATATTCCTTCATTTATTTTCCCAGCTATGCCTTAACATTCATATGTAGGCTACCTTTTACTCCCCCGACATTTTGCACAAATGGGTATTGTACAAACACACTCCTCTTTAGCATTTGAGCTTGTGTATAATACTTCACAAGATGAGAAGAGCGGATCCAACAGACGTCAAAGGTTTTTGAACGTGTGTGTTGGCAGGATTCTATTTGTTTTTCTGTCTTGGGCAGTTATGGGAGAGTTAGTGTAGTACAAGTTAATTACTAGGACCCTTTTTTGTTTTTTTTTTATCTCTTCTGTTTTAACCCCATGTGAAGTTCTTGGGGGAAGGGCTGTAAAATGATAAGATAGAAACATTCTTTGAAGTGAGGAGTAAGAGGGTATAGGGCCTAAGTTAATTTGAAGGTCAAAAGACAATCGGTATAAGTATGTAAGTTTTTTTTTGTGTTACTTAATGTCAGACATTTTGACTTTAATTCGTACAGCTGTTTTTCTTAGAGCTTCTGGTTTTGGGATTGAAAAAAATGTTTGCTTTTCCCAAAGCATTTGAAATGTTATGTAAATGAATCATTAGATGAGTATGTCTTGCTTTTACATTTTATATTGCTTGATTCATCTAATCTGTTTAAGTCTATAAATTAAGTGTAAACTTGTTTCTCCAGAGCAACATTACTCTGCTGTAAAGCCATAGATACATCTTTGGGTTTATTTTTGAGGAGTTGCTGAATTTGAAGATCTGTTTCTGTTTTGGCCTTAAATTTTAACTCTTGTGATTTTTGTTTTTTTCCCATTAGAGTGGGTGATGCCTTACACTTTTGTTAACAAATGTTCAGGTCACTGGTCTGAGATTTGTTTTGGTTTTACACTTAACCATTTATTGTAAAATTCATTTGACACTCCTGTATACCTTTTTTAACCTGTTGATTGTCACTTAAGTGGGCTTTTTTCATGTTCTTATTTTTTTCCCATCACCACACAAGAGCTAATGCATTTACAAAAATGGAAAAATATGCCCCTACTTAAATGTTGTAATCTTTAAGCCGTAACAGGAAGCAAAAAAATAAAAATGTGAGTGGCACAGATCCTCTTGAATAGATTTTGTAAAGCTTTCTGGCATGTCTAAATTTATACATTTTTTTTTTTTTTTGAAAGCAGTTTTATTGTATCAGATTTTTGTTTTAGTAGTGTCTGTTTCTACAGCCTTCTCTTGAAAATACTATAGCCCATACTATTAAACATTTGGACAGTGCTGCCTTAGGTTAAACAGTTGAGTAGTGCAGCCTGGAATCAGAGAGGTTCAATGCCCTTATCACAACATGGCCTGACTCCTTTCCTTTTCCTTGTATGAGAATTGGAATGTTAACCTACAGACAGACACTGTGAAAGCCCCATGGGAGTGGCTGAAGCTTTTATTTAGTGACTTAATTATGGTTGCACTACACTTGTTTTCAATTCAAGTACAGTAAATTGTGATGACTAGGCCCATTGAGACCATTAGAGCTTGATTTACAATAAAGGTTTCTTTGGTGACATCTGATAAAACCCAATTTTAGTTGTTTTCATGTCAATATTTATATGTGGTATTTGTTTATGATCAGGCCTGTATGTTCGTCTGATCTTAAGATCCTACTGGCTTTCTTACTTTTCTTGTTTATAAGGATTCTACAAAGTAACCAATATTGATTTCTTATTGTTATTAAATATATTATTTAACCTTTTTTCTTTGCTAGAGTACTGTCCAGTATACAAAGCATAATGCTTATTTATTTCATATGGAAATAGTTAAAAAAGTAGGCCACTATAAAATAGTAATATTTGTTTTCTAAGCTTTGTGCGAAGCTATCCTCCTTGCAGGGATCTCTCCTCTCTCTTCCTCCTAGCTCTTACTGCAGCAGGCTGAAAAAAAGCCAAAACACTGTACCTTTAGGTTCAACTAAAGGGATTTGTTCTGGACCATAACCACTACAGCACAATTCAATAGTGTCATAATTCCCCTTGCTCTGTCTGCTAAACTGTCATATGTTTACAAATGGTTTGACACTTATCTGACTTTGTCAGACATCCACTTTCCTTCCGGTCTATGCTGATATATTAAAGGGGAATTTTATACTTATTCTTTTGTTTAAAGCCAATGTAAGGGTTGTGGTGCTGCTTAGTGTCCCCTTTAAATTTGTTGCAAGGGAAGCTATGCTTAACTTTGGGTTTCACTTCTCCAGTAACTCAAAAATGACAAGCTGGATTTGTAATAGGACACTAATGTTTATTATAAAGTACTTTATGAACCTAACTGAGCAAGCCTAGTTAATTGTTGTGGTTTCCACTTTAGTTATTCAATTAATTTTAAAGCAACACTATATAGTGTCAGGAATACAAATGTGTATTCCTCCTGACATTTATAGTGCTAGTGTGGCAGTTTAGGATTCTGCTCCCCCTCCCCCCCAGGTCAGAGCGGTGAAAAGGTGATTTTTCTCCCTTTTTTCTATCACGCTGTGGCTGGCCCCACCTCTATGGCTGAGATCATTCAACTTTATGGAAAGCATTGAGAGGCTGCTGCACATGCGCAGACAAATGTCTCACTATGCCAATCAGCATTTCCTCATGGATATACATATAGACCAGATATAGGCAACCTACGGCACGTGTGCCATGCATGGCACTTGAGGTGCCTTTGCATGGCACTCAAGGCTGGTAGAGCCAAACTGGTTTTAGACCTCAGAAATCTGTGTGGCTTCAGATATCTGCTAGTACAAAAAGGCAGTTAGGGACAATCCTTAATTTATGCATTACAGCACTTAGAAAAAATAATCTCAGAAAACTTACTCTGAGAACTTGTGAACAAGATATTCACCCACACCTCTAGACATATGCAGAGCTGAAGAATCAGCCTTTACCTTCTACAAAAAATACAACCCACAAACACAACACTACTGACAATCCACATACACAACCACACAAACAGCCCCTCCCATGCATACACCAAACACACTATGTGACATATCCACACCCACACAATTTCACAAAAAGCCACCATACACAGCTCACATTCACAGGTATAATACAATACTACAAACTACTCATGGATATCTATTCAATACAACAACCCACATACGTAACACTACAAATTCTTTTGTAAATTCTTAACACTACAAATTAACTACAGCACTCATAAATAACACAAGCAGACTATTTAAACATACACACCTCAATTTAAAAAGATAAAAATATATAGGGTCGGCACACCAAGGGACTTCAAGATCTTATTTTGGCATTGTTCTACTAAAAGGTTGCCTAGCCCTGATATAGACCCTGAAGGTAGGTGCTGCACATCGTGCAGTACTGACACAGGAAGTACTTCTAATGCCCGTCTGAGTATCTGCCACTGGAAGTGTTCCTAGACACCAATGTAAATACTACCTTTTCTCTCAAAGGACAGTGTTTACATTAAAAAGCCTGCTGGGACAGGCTATAGACACCAGAAAAACTACATTAAGCTCTTGATTAGTGGACTTATAGAGGGGCCACTCGAAGCCTTTAGTAGCATGCCTTTTGGTACTAACTTTGCTTCAATAACCGCAGGGGTTTTCTTGTCATGAGGTTTTTATCATTACTTTAAATGACTTTCTATCACGTGTACTGTAGTGGACAATAATGGATATTCAAATTATAAAACACTAGCAGGGAGAAACTGTCAGTTTGTTTGGGCAGTTGTACTTTTTAGAGACACATGCTCGTACATACACAATGAATGAGTTCTTGCTGAGAAACACGTGTGGGCTGTAAATCTAAAAAGTGACCATGCAGCTTGTGTTCATTTCCATATCATACTTGGCACTCTGGCAGAGTTGTCGTAACAGACTTTCTGTTCACAATTGGTGTGTGTGTGTGTGTGGGGCAGGTTTTTTTTTTTGTTTTGTTATTGCTCAGTATATTCGAGAATTTTCTTAAAGGAACACTTCACCTTAATAGTGATTTTAGTGTATAAATGTCTTTTAAAAAATATTTTGGAACAGTGTAAAGTTGCTGTCTGAAGGCAATGTTTACAGATCTCTGAAAACACAACTTTAGTGGGTGCCAGATGGACAGTCTCTTAATGACTTTTCATTTTAAGACTTTCAAAAAAAGGAAGGTTTTCATGTTTGGCAGAATCAGGCCCATCATGATGACGCTGAATGTATCCACTGTCTTTGAGAGAGAAGCATTATATCCAGTACTTTGACTGGTGGCACATTGTGTTCCTATGAGTAGGCCCAATATCCCCAATGCTTTTCAGTATTGAAGTGAATAAAAGCCATCATTTATGATGCCTTCACGGAAGGGAAGGGTAAGTGTAAAAAATAAATAATAAATCTGGCTGGGAGGACAGTAATCTACACATCAGGAACTTCTAAGATATAAAGATAAAAAAAAATACGATGTAACATTTGTTATTGTGCTGTAGTAGTGATGTCCAGTTACAGATCAGTTGCTCAGTGACTGCAACTCAGTGTTTATCATTTTGGCAGTTTATTACAGCATAGGACAATTTGCATGACACATTTTATTTGTAAGCTTTTTAAATTAATTTTTTGCATGCATCTCCATTTAAAGGACCACTATAGTCACCCAGACCACTATAGTCACCCAGACCACTATAGTCACCCAACCCCTCAGATGTAAACATAGCAGTGTCAGAGAAACTGCTATGTTTACATTGCAGGGTTAAGCCAGCCTCTTGTGGTTGTCTTCCTGACAGCCGCTAGAGGCGCTTCCCCGACGCTCAGTGTGAAAATCGCATTGAGAAATTGGCTGCGCATTCGGCTTCACTCGGGTGCTGACGTCGGGCTGGGAGGAGAGGTCACCAGCATCGAGGGAGCCCATCGCTAGATAATGGTAAGTGGCTGTAGGGGTTTAACCCCTTCAGCCCTGAGAGTGGGGGGGACCTAAGGATTATATAGTGCCAGGAAAAGGAGATCCTTTCACTTTGCAATGCTTACAATACATGAAGCTTCATGTAGATGGTAGATAATGCCTTTTATCAAAACTCTTAAGGTGACCAGATATACTGACCTACTTGTTTGCCAAGGAATGTCATTGCACATTATTCTTGAGTTGTGGTCTGCGATTAAGGACAGAGGCATTCTTTCATTTCTGGGAAATTCTCATAGTCATATGGAAGTTTTCATCACACAGTAAACAAAGCCGATTTAAAAACAAACCAAAAAGCTGATATATGGGATTGTTCTTTAAAAAAGTTGTGGTGGGTTTACCGTCCCATTTAGGCCAAAATACAAAAGGGGGGGGGGAATCTTTGAATCTTAGGCACACATTTATTTTCTCCCTCAACTTTAATTTTGTCTTATTACAGTTTAAGAAATTAAACTAGTGTTTAAGAAATCAATTTTTCTGTTATCACATTTTCTAATATCGTACACAGTGAACTCCTCCTCTTCACAGTTAATGAGCTAGAACAGTAGAGGAGGCAGTCGTCTGCTGCCCTATAACTTCAGCTAAGGTATCCATTTACTGGTGGATTTCAGCCTGTGGGATCACTGCTATATCCCACCAGCCTGACATCACAGCTGCAATTCTCTCAGTCTATACTTTAGGTTCTAATCTTTTTTTTTTTTTTTTCAGGGACCCAGTTTATATATGGCATTTGATTGTAGACCCATTCTTCAATTGAAGTTCAATTGATTAGCTATGTGACTCATTCTTCAAGAGTTATGAGCTGGGTTTAATAAGATGTCTTTGGTTCTTAGCTACAAGCGCACACGGCAAGGGGAGGAAGCAAGGAGAACAGAGGAGGATGCCAAAGAAGGGTGGAGGTACAGTGAGCCATGTGGACGCACACCCCACATGCTCACTTCCATCTGTAGAGCTAGCGGATGAGAAACTCCATGGTTATTTGATAGCTGGGGATGCTTTTCTTTATTAAAATGCCTATCTCTCAAATCCAGAATAAAGTGCAATTAACATGGGAAGGTTGTTAACCATAAAACACTTCAGCAAGTTGCAGTGTTTTGTGGGTGTGGAGTGGTTCTTTAATTGCGTGGTGAATTGTAGAATATTGCAACTTCATTTTGATAGACCCAGATAAACTACTGCATAAGGTAGTTTTGCATAACTTATGTAAAGATGTAGCTTAGTAGGGAATATTTTGTATTTATTTTTTTCATTTAGAGTTTTTTTTTTACTTTTGGCTTTAAAAAAAAAAAAAGTCATTAAAAACCTCTGAGTGAATGAAAGGCTGTTTTGGTTTCATTACTTTTCAAAGCTGTATAAAGGGTTTCTGCGAGAATCTCTGTGTCAAGCTTAGCCTGTCCTACTACCTAATACAGACGCACAAGCTTTTGGTTTGGGTTCAATTGACCCTTTAATGGCATTTCTCATGGAAATGCTTTAGTAAACTCTGTGTGTAAAGAAAACCTTTATTGGCGTCATTGTTCCATGAGAAAAAAAACATGTTTACTCTTCTTTAGACTTTGAGTTCTCCTATTCTTGGAATTAACTTGTTGCCTGGACTTTGAAACTCTGTCTTCAATTCAATATGGTATTTTTACCAGCTTTTTACTGTGTTGCAAAATATACAATTATAATCACCTATTAAATAATAGACATTATTTTATTAATCTATGTATTATAAGTGTAAGATCCCAAAGGTGCTTTTAACATATAAAAAAAGCTCTCTTTAAAAAATAAATTAATAAAAAAAAAAGTCAAAAGAAATATAAAACATAATCAGGAAGAACTCACCTTGCTGTCATATGGGTGAGGCATAGGTTTGGTTGCTTAGTAGAGATAAATGAGTCTCTACATGCAAGGGTTTCACATCAATGAAACTTCTAGAAAGTCCTGTGCTAGTAATGCACAATAGCAAACGGACAATACCATGCAAGTAACCCTAGAGTGCCACACTACTGCATAGAATCTTATTCATTGTGAATGGAAAAAAGCTATTTTTGATTGCCATTTAATTGGGACATATTTTTTTTTTTTTTCTGTGTGTGTGTTTGTAATTTCACTTACTAGTGACTTAAACATTTGTGCTTTATTTGACCTGAGAATTCTTGGTCAGTTTGTTAAGAAACAAACATCAGTGTTGTTAAAACCACACATTGTATATGTTTAGGGAGGAAGATTTAGCAACACCACAATGCATTTATAGTAGCCTTTCATTGTACTATATCAGAATCCAATGCAGGTTTGTAGAATTTAGGATCAAGTGAGACATATTTAGATACCAAACCAAGAAATATATAAAAATAGTTGGGTGTCAATGCTAACATTTTGAAGCCTTGCAGTGTATGGTTTGGTTGGAAAGTGCATTATTTTTTAATTGTCCATTTAGTCATATGTTTTGATTTTATTTCCTTTCTTTTTCACATTAATTTTACATAACTGACACACTCACTTTTTCATTGCTATCTATGTACCTAATAAGCTTGTGCACACACACATACACACACGTCCCTTTATACATGCTGAGATATACACACCGACCTTTATATATACATTTGCACACAGCCATAGAACTGTATAAATAGGCACATAAACTTTTATACATAGAAACATGCATTCACACATGAATGTTTTAAATGCGCAGAGATGTGCGTATACCATTCTTCCCCACCTTCTACCTTTACATACCTTGACAGTCCTATACACTTCACTTCCTTTCAGGTGCACTCCCTCTCATACACGATGATTACTTTCAGAGACTATTTATATACATTTCAGCCTTTGTGCATATCTAGAGATCTTCAATCAAAGGTGCAATAAGATTCTTATATATTTACAACATTCCCATATATACACAAAAAATCTTGTCCAATTTAGCTATTTTAGTCTAGATTTTGCAGGTTTTTTTGTGGTTTTTTTTTTTTGGATTACAAGAAAATAGTTTAGACAATGTCCTTTTTTAATTTATTTTTTTAGTTTTGATGCTTAGAAGTGATATTAGCTTTGGTAGGCTCTTTGTCCTATTAAAGCAGTTCAGACAGTGCTGGAGATGTGGTTCATTTTGTAGCAGGTGTGCATCTGATCCTTTTTTACGTTCTTTTAGCTCTCCACTCTAGAAGTGCTGTTGATGGTTAACTTCTCATGAGCCTCCCAGTATTGGGAAATATAAACAGTGTATACATGACCAGACATTTGTATTTTAACCTTACAGTGTTCCTTTTGAATTTTGCTTGCTTTATTAATTTATCTTGTTTTAGCTGTATATGAAGTTGCATTCTTGTGTGATTGTTCTTTGCCAAAACAGACCCCCCCCCCTTTTATTTTTCCCCTTTTCTTTTCCTGAGGCATTTTAAAGCAGCATTATGCGTCTTGTTGATGAGTGTACATGCTGGTACACCAAAATGGCCCTAGGAAAAAAAATACATTTACATCTGTGCTACAGCCAGCTTCCGTACTAATTGTCTTTGTTGCAGTAACCCTTAAATCTGATTTATAAATTTACTCTTTCTAAGAAGTTAAACAACCAAGCTATCCAGATTATAACTCCCATAATCCTGTGCTTGTCTCCAACATTTCCTGAAGCTAGCTAGTTCATTAGCAGATGGTATGGCTGTGCAGCTTAGATGTGGTCATAAATTTGCTAAGATTTTAATTATTCAGTTTGAAAACGGCTTTTAAAATTAATAGTGATGCAATTTTTAGCCTCTTAGTAGAATGATTTCATAGACTTATTTGCGTTTTATTTATATATATGTGTGTGTGTGTGTGTGTGTGTGTGTGTGTGTGTGTGTATATATATACAGACACATACACACACACACATAAATATATACACACAAATAAAACCGCAATAGTGTACACTGTAAATATGTGTAAAACACAATACTCACATGCTTAAGTGCAAAGTACGGTTTGCTCATTCCAATACGCTTAGGTGGTATCATCCCCTCCCAGGATATGTAGCCCAAGGTTCCAGCAGCAGCAGAAACAGGTACAATAGAACAGTACTTTAATGTTAAAAAAACAATAAAAAATAGATAAAACAGTATGACTAGTACACGCGTTTCACCTAAACATAGGCTTTCTCAAGTGTTTACAGGATGTATGTAAAAGCAGGGAGTATATTGAGTAGGTTCAGTAGGATCACTAACATTGTACTGAATAATATAAAATTATAGAGTGCACATCTTATCTTATCTTGTATTGTTCAGCTGGGTTGCATGTCAGAAAAGCGGTAAGATATTTAGTATAAGTATGTTTTTAAGTTATTTTCAAGGTATTTCCAATCAGTTTTGGCAAAGAGTCCTCTAGAGTTGGCTTCCTCTTTGTCCACACCCTGGGAAGTTCACCAATTAGATTTTCCTTTTTGCTTCCTTGTTTCTTTGTGAGCTTAGCTGCTTAAAAAATGACAAGCATGCAGTGCCTTAAATGGGTGAAAACATTCAAACGTGAATTCCTTTACTGACAAAACCCCTTTAAAACAAATAGATTGCTGAAACGGAACTGCTTTTAATTTATTTACTTTAGGATAGACTTAAAGTGTTTTAAAAATAGACACATAAACATGCATCCTGTGTTCCTCTTTAAATTTAAATTACGGTAAGTGAGCATCATGAATGGTTGTTACATGTTGCTTTGTTGAGAACAAACTGCAGAAGCAGCAAAGATATTTGGCACATGCAGGAATGTCTAATGTATCTTTATTTTTAATTCCTTTTTACCTGTATGTTTAATGCATTAAAAGAAATGGTTAAGTGGAGTAGTGTATTTGACAATGGTATGGTAAATGGAGTATGTCATGCATAGCTTGACTGTGCACCATTTTAATCTGAAAATATATTTGTTTATACAAAGTTATTTGGAGATCTGGCTTTTACCTGACCCCTTTATCCAGACATAGAAGCTCAGGTGGATTAACAGATGTTTAGTTCACTGTGCATCTTACTCCTTAACCAACATACTATATGGTCTAGAACTTTGCTTGTATTTGGATAGGATAGTGCTAGGTATAAGTAACATTATTTGCAGATTAACAAGTTGTTCTTTGTCTTATTGTGTCGAACAGGTGCATTCTAACAGGTTTCTTTACTAAAGAATATAAGGCCAAAGTAGCTAAACTGGAAGCATAGCTGACTTGGAAAATGTTTCCAGGTTGGCTATTTTAGCCTTAAAATTCTTACTTTAGTAAGTAAACCTGTAAGTGTGCTGTAGTGGTTATGGTTCCATCCCCTGGCTATGTTACATATCAAATTGAGGGTCTCCTATCATTTATGCAAAAGTTATGTCTCCCATAATTCCACCCACGAAAATTGCAATTACAAATCCCATGGGGTTGAACGAGCTACTATAATTAGAGCTGCTAATTCTTATCTAGAGCACATTTCTTTTATATAAAAGTGCACTTTCCTCTTATATCATAGGTAAAGGGACACCATAGGCACCCAGGCCACTGTAGCTCATTGAAGCAATCTAGGTGCAGTGTCCCAGGTCCCTTAGCCCTGGAAAGGTATTTATTGCAGTTTTTGCTAAACTACAATAATTACATTTTATGGGTTAACACTTTCTCTAGTGGCTGTCTACCAGACAGTCACTAGAAGGACTTCCAGATCGTTGGGCGACTTTTGGTTGCCTAACTGACCCTGGACGTCCTGACACTATGCATGAGGATGTACAGCATCACTGGAATCCCCATAGGAAAGCATTGAATAATGCTTTCCTATGGAAAATTCTAATGTGAGTTTGGCCATTGCGGGGAAGGAGCGGAGACATCAGCGGTAGACCTAGGTAAGTGACAGAATGGGTTTTTAACCACTTATGCACCACGGGGTGGAGAGGAGGGCTTGTTGCAGGGGGAAGCCATAGTGCCACGAAAACAAGTTTGTTTTCCTGGCAGTATAGTTTCCCTTTTAAAAATATTTGCCATGGTACTGTGGCTTTAAGTCTTTTGTACTATTTAGCATTGGTAAAGGAAAATGTAGTGGAGTTTTATTTTTTTTCTATTTGATACAGTGTATTTTGATTAGTTTCAATTTATGTTCTCCCTCTCTTATGTTTTGTAGATGGTTATTAAACAATCTGTTCTTGCATTGTTTTTTGAATAGTTTGATTTATTAGTTTGATCCTGATATTCATGTATTTGCATCATATCTACTGCCCAGAGTAGTAAGTGGCAGATCCATCTTTAGGCGTCTGTAGGAAATACATTGAAAGATCCTCCTCGCTCTTTCATGTTCACAATTTGCTTGACATCCCTGTTGTCTGGAGAGACCATAAGGTGGCTGAGGTTTCTAGGCAGATCCTGGTGCTTTTAATGTTTCTAATGGCTGTGTGGTATATATAAGTTCCACACTTGTAAATAAAATATGGATGAGGGCACTTGGCAAGCTAAAAGTATCTGTGGTGTAATTTTGATTAGCTCGAAGTTGCAGAGCATTAAAACTTGTGCCTATGCTTGGGAGCTGTGGCTGTCTTATACAAAGCTATAAGAGAGCCCATACAGGTAATTTGAAGTTGTGTAAAATGTGTACACCACATGCAAATTGTTGTACATATAGGTGATTTCCTAGAATTAAGGGTGTATATAGCTGCATCAGTTATTAGAAGCGATTTCAGCTTTAATAATAAGCATACAGGGAGGTCATACTCTAGTATCATCCAAAGAAAGGGGTGTTTATAATGTTTGGGGTTTCACTTTAACTTATGTAAAATTAAATCCATATTTTATTGTGCAGTTGAAAGGAACACTCCAAACCTTTTAAGGGGGTTAACCAGAGTGTCCTTGCTCTCTTCATAAAAGTGCAGTGTATTCAGATAGGCAGGAGATTGCTCTTTGCGATTGTTATGTGTCCCAGCACAAAGTGAAAGGCATTGCTTCTTACGGAGAACCATTGCCAGCAGTGTGTGGCAAGTGGGGGTGGAGCAGAACTGCAAAAAGGGAACCGTCTTGCTGCTTGATTAGAAGTTGGTTAAATCTTTATTTAGTTCACTCTGTAGTGGGGGGTGGATGGGGGTGGAATTGAATTGGCATTTTACACACTCCAATGTTATAAAAATACACCAGCATTCTGAAGAAAGGTTTTTGTTTATAATGCAGGAGTGTGCGTTTAATAAAGTTAAAATAATAGCTAATTTGACTGTGTAATTTTATTTTCATTATTATATTTTCTTTTAATAACTCGACACTGTTTAATAATACACGATGTAACATCCAAGCATATAGGCATGAGGCAGTTAACAGTTGCTGTAAAATTCTTATCATAGTAATGCAAGAAAAAATAAAGATAAAAGTGCCTCTGGAAGCAAGGTAGTTGACTCAGAAATAGAAAAGAAGGTTAAAAGTGATAAAAGGGAGTTAAAGGAGTAGCATGGAAAATACATTTTGTGCATAAGCAGGTTGTATGTAAACCCTTTTAATGTGTATTTTTAAAAAAAAATTTTTTTTTTATTGTTGATCTTTTTAGGTATGGCCTCACAAGTCTTGGTGTACCCACCGTATGTTTATCAAACCCAGTCAAGTGCCTTTTGTAGCGTGAAGAAACTTAAAGTAGAACCAAGCAGCTGTGCGTATAACAGGAGGAACTATCCCAGAACAGATCTGTATGCTAGAAACGGAGTTGCACATCAATCTAACAAGAGCAGGCCTCCTTTCCAGACAAAGATTCCCTCTGACAGACCTCATCGACAGACCACTGCGCAACAAGTTAGCGCAGTCACATTAAAAACCAACACAGGTGCATCAGCGGACCCAGCAGCGCAGGCGCAGCCAGTTCCGGCAGAGGCACCACTTGTCAGAACTCAAGATAGTGGATCAGAATTGTTGGACAACCATCAGAGATGTGGATTGAAGCGTAAAAGCGAAGATTTGGAGAACCAGGGTGGCACCATGCAGATTGTTGATGAGTTGTCTTTACTGCCTGCCATGCTTTCAAGTAATGCAGGAAACCCAGTGACTGTGGTGGCAAACACAGGAACTTCTAAGCAAAATGGAGCTAGTGTGGATGGGGACTATCAGCTGGTACAGCATGAAGTTTTGTGCTCAGTCAAAAATACCTATGAAGTACTTGACTTTTTGGGTCGAGGTACCTTTGGACAGGTAGTCAAGTGCTGGAAAAGAGGGACAAATGAAGTAGTGGCTGTTAAAATTTTGAAGAACCATCCTTCATATGCACGTCAAGGACAGATTGAGGTGGGCATACTTGCAAGACTGAGCAGCGAGAATGCGGACGAGTTCAACTTTGTGCGTGCATACGAATGCTTTCAGCATCGGAACCATACTTGCTTGGTTTTTGAGATGTTAGAACAGAACTTGTATGACTTCTTGAAGCAAAATAAATTTAGCCCTTTGCCCCTGAAAGTGATTAGGGCTATCCTTCAGCAAGTGGCTACTGCACTGAAAAAGCTTAAAAGTCTTGGTTTAATTCATGCTGACCTCAAACCAGAGAATATCATGTTGGTGGATCCTGTAAGGCAGCCGTACAGGGTGAAAGTAATAGACTTTGGCTCTGCCAGCCATATATCAAAGACTGTTTGCTCGACCTATTTGCAGTCTCGCTACTACAGGTAAATGTACTAATTCTAAAAGTAGTTTTTAACCGCTTTGTTTATAAATAGCTCTCATTAATAAAATGTCTTCTTTTTTTCTTTGTCATTTGCACTTGCATCTCTAGTCCTAAATTGCTTTTACTTCTTTCGTGCCTCCTGCTTGTCTTTTTCCCATCACTTTTAACCTTTCTCACTTGGCACCTGTCAATTTTCACTCTAGATCAGGGTAGGCAACCTTCGTCACTTTAGATGTTGTGGTGTAGATCTCCCCTGATGTTTTGCTAGCATTTTGCCAAATTGTGCTTACCCCTACCCCAAATAATCCTTTTTGCAAGTCTTGTAATAATACATTACTCTCTGAATTGTAACTTTAGCCCAGATCTTTGCCTTTCAACCCATTCCTCCACTCTCTCACCACTGATGCATCTTGCTTCTACTTTTCTTGCCCATGACCCTCTTGGACTTGTCCACCCCCTCCTCTTGCAACATGCTCACCATTTTCACTTGCTTCTCTTGCCTCAGATGCTTTCCATTTCTTCCTTTCTGAATTTACTTAATTCAGGGGTGTGGACATTTAAATCAAAATAGGGCTATTTGTTAAACTCCGAATTTTCACAAATTTAAATCCAGATGTAAAATCCAGAGGAAAACATATCTGATCCAGAAAGGTTCTCTAACTCCACTATAGTCATAACAGCCATTTATATTTTATTTGTCAAATGTAACGAATTACCCAGTGGGTCTTACATAGTCTCTCCCACTGTCCTGACTCACTGTGTGTGTGTTTAATGCTGGCTTTGTGTATTATGTGATTTCCACACTCCTATTAGTTGCATGCTGCCTATGCCTGCCCAGACCCCTGAAATCTGATTTATTTTTTTTTTATTTTTCTTCTTTCCCCTTTCTGCCATTCTGTGTTTCTTTAAGGGGCTATTGCGCGTTTTCTCTTGTTGTTTCCCCTACCTCTGTTGACTGTATAGGGAAATGACTGTGCATACTACCATAGTTTAAAGGTCTGCAGTTTTGGTAAATAAATGAGCTGGTTGGAAATCACATTTCAGAAGTCACAGCAGTATTCTTGTAAGACGTGTAGAAATCTGTAAAGATTGTGTTTGGAATTTCCCCACCTTCCCCTCCAGCAGATGTGTATTCTCCCATGTAAATGCTTCAACTCTTTCTTGATCTTTGTTACAGTGCTCTATATTATCAGTCTTTGGTTTAGAATTAACTGTTTTGATTATTTCCTTTTGCTAAATCAAGGTATCAGATAGAGCTATGTTTGTTTATTCACTAGCCAAAGGGATGATTTGTTTTAGAATTTGTAAAAAAAATTAGTTTGAAACACCAGAATGGTGGATGAATGCTAAAGATTTAAGACTGACTGATTAAAATCTGCTATGTGCTGGCTTAATAAAATAGAATTCAGAGATTAAACCCATATTTCAAGCAAATGCACAAGAGAAGCTATTTGAAGCTAGATTTGTCATTAAATAATTATAGACTGTTGAATAACTATAAGATCTTCTGTATGATGGCTAATCTTTGTCACGAAGAGGTTGGGAACAATATTTCCCATGGTGCCCAGACATTCAAAATTCTGTGTATTTCTGTATAGTTATTTGAAGGTCAGTCTGCGTTAGCTACTGGGCTAAAGGTTTAGCCGTCAATACGTGTGATTTGAAGGCCAGTGATACAATAGCTTGCTTCTTTTTTTTTTCTTCTCAGAGTAAGAACATGTGGTTATAATGTCTGTGTATTGAACACATGCTGTATTGTGTTGATGTGAGCTTATGTTCAATGTTAGATTTGATTGTTTTAATTATTGGGTGTTCCCCAATCATTTTTAATACATGCAGGATACTAGCTCAGTTGAGGAAAATTGCTCAGTTTAAAGATAGTTTTCAGTTATTACGAGCTACTTAGAAATGGGAGTTTATCAGATGCTACATCAATACTGAAAGAAAGCCACAAATCCAGCTCTCTTCCGTCATTGTCTACATTTCCTATTCAGGCCTTAATCACAAAATGCCATTTGTGACGAAAATAGTTGTAGGAAACTGGTGGTAGCTGTTGATGGCAGAGTTATTGCTGTAGAGTATAGGGTTTATAAATAATGCTGTGAGATGTTGTATGGTTATACAAACTACTTTACCTTTCAACAGCTATCCTGCAGGTCTCTTACATTGTTAACCTTTTAGATGAATGCAAGGGGTTTCTCCCGTTCCTGGCAATTAGTGGTTAAGTCTTTTATTGCCAGATTGACTTCTAGTAGTGAAGGTGTTCAATCTAATCTTTGATAAGGAACAGAAATGTATGCAGTTCAATAAATTTTCATGCTTGTGGCAATTTTTCTCTCTTGATGTCAGTTTGTGAGAACAAGACCTCAAGGAAAATATGAACATTTCTAGACTAGATGCCTTTGGTGACAATGTTTACTCGTAGAATAAAAGATGTGTGCTAAAGTGGATAGTATCTTTGCATATGCACTTTAACACATGTTCCCATATCATCTACTCATGTGGATGTGCATGGCAATTAAGTCATAGATTTAAAAAAACTAAAAACACGACGTTATTAGGATCTAGAGAGCCGCACAAACTATGAGACTTAAAAATGTATTTTACTTATTTTTAATACATTTTCAGCCTCTATATATAGTGGTGCGTGATAGATTTACCGACACTGTGCCTATGTCACATATATATGAGACCCACATCACAAAAACCCTGTATAACACTCACCCAATCGGCAAGAAAGCACTGTCTCACATATCAATTAAACAGAAAATCGACAAGACTGGCTTCATCACACATTTTAAACTAAGCTCTAAACGTTCATTACCAATATATAGAGGTCCTGCAATTCCAAATAGCACACTATGTGCTGGTGTCTTGTATATGAAATAAGGGAAACATTTTGTATTCATTGTTTTTATTCACTTCTGTTGTTTAGGAAAATACCCTTTGGCTCATTGACGCAGTCCAAAGGATTAGTGTTTTTGCTCAGTCTCTCACGCGAACAAATGTTATTCTATCATTTTGAACCACACATCACTGCAATGTAGCAGCACTGCTTAAAATAGGCTCCAGGGCCTGGCCAAAGCATGTTGACTACTATAGATGGTGAGGCTGTCTGCCTCTAGGGTTGAAAAAAGACAGAAGTACTTAACTAAGAAGGTTTGCTTGCTCAAGGTCAGCAAGTTCTAAAGTGAGCAGCTTTAGTCTGTAGGAGTGTGTCTGTGAATTGACTAGCTATGGGACAAATATGAGGCTCTATAGATCAGAGTGAATGTAATAAAGGTGGCTGCACCAAGTCAGTGCATTGAAGTTTATCAGATTTGTTATTACCAATTGCAGAGTGCTAAACCAGCTCAAAATATGGAATCTCCGTTGTTAGAAACAATGCTTTCCCGGTGAAACACTCAGTAAAGTAAATTTGTAACTCATTTATGTAAACCACATTTGTTCTGCTTTGTAACTCTGTAGACTTGTTATTTTATCTTGTGTTTAACTTTCACCCCAACTGCTATTTTACCATGGTTGGTCAAGTAGCAGTGTCTTAAGAGATTTTACTGCACATTATTACGTTTACATGAATTACCCTGAGCCTTTAACTCTTTCACAGGTAGATTAACTTTGGTACCATTGTACAAGACAAAACTGCTAACACTATTAGAACACTTTTATAATAATAGTTAATAAACTGTTAGATTCTAATTACTAAGTAAAATGTGCCCTGTATCATACCCAATAGACCAATTTCCATTGTGTCAAAGAAATCAAAGTCCTGTAAATCTTTTCCCAAACTAATCTACCCATCTAGGATCTACCTGGAGTCCAAGGTAAATCCCAGATGGATTAATACTGACACAATTGAAACGGGTTTGTGCACACGTCTAGTATCTAACTAAGTGACCGAGAGGTCCGTACAGGGCTCCTCAGTATCTGATTGGCTGAGTGGTTCATGCCAGACTAATAAAAACGTCCCAATTTTTCTTACTCTGTGACTGACCCTACACCACTATGTAATCACATTTCCTATAGCAATTAAGCATTTTACTGCTCTGGTGAACAAAATGCTCTTGCTCTGTTGTTAATGCTTTTAGATTTGACACTTTGTTTTGTACACAATTTATTATTCTAGTGGGATGATTCAAAATATGTTAAGTTATAAACAAATCTTAACAGCCCACTTTTTTTTAAAAAAACAAACATGTTTTTCTATTTATTTATTTTTTATACACCAAGTAACATACAGATCACTGGACTGAGCTAGTTGTCTACAAATAAATATAGGGACATTTAATTTGACCTAAATTTTCTCCCATCTGGGGTAATATAACAGGGCTGGGGAGAGTAGCTACTGTCTATCCATAATTCTTTGCTAATCATACACTGCTTGTCGAGGATTGTTGGGTTGGGTCTATTATCAGTGGGGTGCAAATTTATCAATAGTTTTTTCAGTGTTTTAATCGAAAAGAAAGGCCAAGAGGGAAGACATAAGTTTATTGCCCAGTGTATTCTGAATCCTGTAACCTGTGTAGCTTGTGTTGTAATAGACTTGAAGCATTTCTGTTTATTAAAGGGACACTATAGTCTCCTGAACAACTTTAGCTTAATGAACCAGTTTTGCCCCTGCAGCCTCACTGCCCAATCCTCTGCTGTTTAGAAGTTAAATCCCTCTGTTTATGAACCCTAGTCACACCTCCCTGCATGTGACTTGCACAGCCTTCCATAAACACTTCCTGTAAAGAGAGCCCTATTTAGGCTTTCTTTATTGCAAGTTCTGTTTAAGATTTTCTTATCCCCTGCTATGTTAATAGCTTGCTAGACCCTGCAAGAGCCTCCTGTATGTGATTAAAGTTCAATTTAGAGATTGACATACAATTATTTAAGGTAAATTACATCTGTGAAAATGAAACCAGTTTTATTTATTTTATTTTTTTTCATGCAGGCTCTGTCAATCATAGCCAGGGGAGGTGTGACTAGGGCTGCATAAACAGAAACAAAGTGATTTAACTCCTAAATGACAGTGAATTGAACAGTGAAATTGCGGGGGAATGATCTATACACTAAAACTGCTTTATTTAGCTAAAGTAACTTGGGTAACTATAGTGTTCCTTTAACAGTGTCTAGAGGAATGTAAGGAATCTGTTATGCTGTAAATACCTTGGAAACATACAGCAGTCAGTGTGGCACTAATTAATATTGAAGAATTGCAAACTATACTAGCAAACTGTTATGAGCATATCTGAGGATTCAAAAGAAATGTCCATTCTGTAAAATGTATTTGTAGGCGGACTATTTTAAAACCAAAAATGCATCTTCCTGTTTCTCAGATAAGTAACTGGTAGACATGGCTTCAAACATAGCTTAAAGGAACACTTTGGACACCATAACAACTTCATCTAAATGAGTGAGCTTACAGTGTACAATAAAAAAAAAATAACAGCATGTCAGAAGAGATGATGTATTGATGGATGAGATACCTGTTTCGAAATAAGATGGTTTGTTCCACACACGTTTACTAACAGTGGATGGAGAGAATGAGCTGAGCAATAGAGGTGATGGAAATTAGGAGGGCAATTATGCGTCAAATAGGAAGATGGTAAGTTTTCTTGAATTGGTGTGTTTTCAGCGACTTCCTTAAGGAATGGAGGCTATGGAACAATCTGATGGCATTGAAGCCAAGGATTTGGCAGAAAGAAAATAGTCAGAACGCATGTGGGCCGTTTACACAGCTTTGTAGGTTAAAACATTGTGGAAATGTATAACCCCTTAAAGAAACACTATAGTCACCCAGACCACTTCATCTGAATAAAGTGGTTTGGGTGAAATTGTTATGGTACCTGGAATATTTAATTATTTAAAAATAATTGTTATGCATCAGTTAGGGCTGCTGCATATACATCTTCTGCATTTATCGTAGCACATAATTCACCATGCTTTAAAGTGTTATATGACCACACCCCTCCACCCCATTCCCCTACCCTCAAAATGCAGCTTAGGTCCCCCGCACCCTCATGGCCCCCTTCCCGCTGGGCTGAAGGGGTAAAAACTCCTTTAGCCACTTACCTTTCTCCAGCGCCGGGCAACTCTCCTCCTCCTGCCGATGTCAGCACCGAATGCGCATGCGCGGCAAGAGCTGCGCTCGCATTCAAACCCCCCATAGGAAAGCATTACTCAATGCTTTCCTATGGATGTCAGCGTCTTCTCACTGTGATTTTTTTTTTTTTCACAGTGAGAATCGCGGAAGCGGCCTCTAGTGACTGCCAGTGAGACAGCCACTAGAGGCTGGATTAACCCTCAGTGAAACATAGCAGTTTCTCTGAAACTATGTTTTCAGCTGCAGGGTTAAAACTAGAGGGACCTGGCACCTAGACCACTTCATTGACACTCCAAGCATTTTAAGGGACACTCCAAGCATTGTAACTGCTACAGGGCTTCCCGATGTTGGCAATCAAACTATCTGATAACGGTATCACTTCTTCTTATATCCACAAGGTAACTCTCATTTCTTGTATGAAGAGCCAGAAGCTCTTGTTAAAGGGGCGCTATAGTGTCAGGAACACAAAAGTGACACTAGTTCTGAAACCAACATTTAGGTGGTCAGTCCCCCCTTACCTCGGGTTAGAAAGGTTATTTGCTCTCCTTTTTTCCAGCGCCTGGAAGGACTCCTCGTGCCTGCCCCTGATCCGCCTCCTTGGCTGATATCAGAATTGATGATCTCAGCCAATCAAAATGCTTTCCCGTAAGAAAGCATTGGAATGGCTGGAATAGTTCTGATGATCTCCCTGCCAAGGAGGCAGGGTGGGGGCAGTGCCAACCACCACACTGGCCAATCCGTGTCTCCTAATAGAGATGAATTGATTTAATGCATTTCTATGGGGGAAGTTCAGCATCTCCATGCAGAGCGTGGAGACGCTGAGCGTCATTGCTACAGACAGTGACCCTAGAAGCACTTCTAGTTGCTGTCTTAGGAGTGGCCACTAGAGGCTCTAATGTAAACACTGCTTATTCACTGAAAAGTCAGTGTTTACTTTAAAAATCCTGCAGGGACTGACTTGACTCACCAGAACAACTATGTTAAGCTGTAATTTTTCTGGTGACTATAATGTCCCTTTAATGTTTCCGTTAGCTATTCCAAGATCCATGCTGGCCAGCTCAAAAACTGGGCAAATTCCATTGTACGTACACTGCCAGGTTTAGCTCAATGGAGAGGGCTTCTGGCTCTCATGCTGGAGATCTCTGATGCCTGACAAACCCCAGGAAAGTTGTAAAGCTGTTAGCTTGGTCCATTTAAGGGAGAGGGCACTACCAAGTGCCATAGCAGTTACGTTGCTTAGAGTGTTTCTTTAAGTGAGTTCCTTTTGTACAAGCATTTCTATTCTCATACAGTAGGGCAGGTCTTCATGTGATGTCCGTAACATTCTTCTTGGAACGCTTACTAAATACTAATTATACCTTCCTGTTTTATCACAGCTGTTCCTGAGTAATCTACCTAGCATACAAATTCTTAAAGAAGGGTACATTATTTAAAGATGTTATATAAATAAAGTGTTGTACGTGTTTGTATTCATGTTTATACTGTGTAAACAATAACTCAAAATGAGTGTACTGTAAACGGGCTAATAAAACCTATCTGTGTTGACATATTGGTCCTCCCATCTGACATTTTATAAAATGCCTTACTTCTAAATGATCTTTGTACTGGTAATCCGATACTGTCGATTAACCTATCATTAATTTATTTGTACAGCAGCAACAACTTGAGCACCTCTACAAAACACCCGTCAGCAGATAGACTAACCTAGAGGTTGGTTAGACAGGGTCCTACTTGTTAGATGTTATCTCAGAGTTAAAGCTTGCATTTTACATCATAGTTTGTGCAGGTGTGATGCCTAATAGGAGACTTATAATGAATATAAATCATCTTCACACGTGATTGTATAACACTATGAAGAATTGGCGTCCTTGTAAAGATCTGTGTTTGCTCATATTCTTTATGGGAAAATGCAAGCAACTATAACTGCTTGTTACTACAGGGACTTAAAAGACAAAAAACAAAAACAAAGGTACGATTATTATCACCATTTATATAGCGCCAACAGATTCCGCAGCGCTTTACAATAATATGAGAGGGGTATTTAACTGCAAATAGGACAATTACAAGATAATGAATGTCTTCAGTATTCAGTTTTTAGTTCGATTTACTTTTCAAAAATGGAATGATCACTTGGAATCACACTTCATATGTCAGGACTTGCCAAATCTCAGAAGCTGTGGCTTATACATATTTTTCTACTATTTTTGTTAAATTGTATATTAAAAGAACCCTCTAATTTTAAAAATAATTTTAAGTTTCCATTTTTCACTTTAGATGATTCTCCTCTCTGCAGCCCAATCTGCCCTATTGTTTGGCATTTTGCTCCTATATGCACTTCTTAAAGCGGCACTGTCAAACTGAATTTACCTTTCTCCTATTGTTTCTTCTTCTCTTGCTCTCTCAGAATCTGTTATTTTATTCTTCCTTTCTGATCTAGTTTTCTTTAAAACACAAGATAAAGTAGGGACTACATTGTCTTGTGTATTTTTCCTACGTCTGACGTTATCTGACACAAGGAGGAGCCTAAGCTAGTTCTATTTCCTGTGTAAGTTTTCTCACAATATTCACCCTCCTCCTTGACACAGGAAATTGGCTCCTCCTTTGGTCAAAGAAAGTCAAGCGTAGGAAAAATACACAAGACAAAGTAGTCCCTACTTTGTCTTATGTTTTTAAGAAAACTAGATCAGAAAGGAAGAAAAGAACAACAAAATCTGAAGCAGGAAGAGAAGGGGAAACAATAGCCGAAAGGTAAGTTTTTAGTGTGACAGTGCCACTTTAATAATGTCTCTCCCTCATTTAAACCTGAGTGGTAAACAGTGCCGTGTACAATGACCATAAATAAAGCAAAAGTGTGGCAACAATGGTGACATCGTTGGCAACGTTAAATATTTTTATTTTTAATGTAAAAGTGTTCCTATTGTTTAGATTACGAAGCCGCCCTTCAAGAGAGAAAAAAAAAAAAAAGCCATGAAACGTACCTTTATTGCATCTTCAGGACAATCTTGTCAATACATAGTGGTTTTAATGCTTACATTCTCCTTTCATTTTCAATGTCCATTGCGTTTCCTGGCTCCTAAAATAGTACATGCTTTTGTCCAACATTATATTATACAGCGTTCCCCATAACCATTTATGTGTAGATTTAGTACATGTATAAATAGTTATAGTAACCACTGCTATAACTACAGTTGAGAAAAAAAAATATTGAGCTGTGAATTAGTGTAAATAACTATCTTTTTTAACCCCTTAAGGGAGGAGGCAATTGTACAAGTTCTGACCAAAATAAACCCTAGAATTTTACTGCAATAAAAACACATATGTGTGTTCAGCGATGTCTCATGGGTGTTTTGGAAAGTTACAGGGTTAAATATTGGACTTGCAAATTAAATTGTCTGGGCATTGGGTGTCAGGCAGGTCCCTCAAATTGTAATGAATAAAATCACTTAATTATGTTTGATTACATAAATATACATGTAGAATTTAGTCCTGCACTCCAATCATACCAATACTTTACCTGGTGCTTAGCCACACTTTCCATATAGTTCCAATATCAGCCAGCACTCCAAGCCTTTTTCTCCAAAAATCTCTTTTTATTAGTAATACAACAAAGTATTTACATGACAAGGTTGATGTTTCAGTCCTCATGGAGGACTTTCATCAGAACATGTGTTCTGGCTTGCAAAAGGTATATTTGTTTCCAAGCCAGTTTAGTGAATGGGGAGTCACTGATTGGCTCGGCGCAACAGCTGACTGCTCTCAGCCAATCAGCGGTGCCCTTATGCGCTTCCTGAATGTAAGAAGTAAGAATTCAAAACCCGCCAGAGGGAGAGTGGAGACCAGCGCTGCAGGCAACTTGGGGGTTAACCTGTTCTTGAGGTAAGAGTGCCTCCAGGAGCATTATGGCACTATAACAACTTAATTGAGATGAAGTTGTTTTGGTGCCAGGAGTGTATATTTAACTCATCATATACCCGCTTAATGGATCTTTATTTCTCGGAGTGCTACTCCATGCTTAAATTGGATTGGTGAATCATAATCTTTATTAAAAAATACATATGTTACATGAAATTCCAGTACTATGAAAATAAGACTTTGTTGTGTAAATGCTACCAATAATGTCAAAACTAGAATAATTGATTAATTTCCATCAGCCTAGCTTTGTAATTTGTGATAGGTGATGGGGGTAGAAATCCGGTCAAGTGATGCTCAGTAGTAGCGCAAGATCTGTATAGCATCTGGCAGCCTCTTTTGCCAAGACCTGAAGAAGGAAGGACGATCTTGGCACCAAGGAATGAGGTTTTGTGGTGAACACACCCCCACCCCATGCTCCACAATTCAGCAGATTTGTCTTTTGCATTGATAAGCATGATCCTGCATTGTAATGCGTGCTTTCGTTTGTCTTATTTCTTTCAATGATTACTTTTGTCTGTCTTATGCTATGTAATGTAACTTGTTTTTTTATTTTATTTATTTTTTTGACAAACAGCTGTTTTCTCTGAAATCCTTACAGAATTAGAGATGTAGCATAGAATGGATTTCAGCTTTTTCCAAATGTAATTTACAGTTAAGTTCTTTGGAATTTGTGCTTTTCTTCACTCTTCCTAATCTTCAGGCGCCTATCCTTAGGAAAGAAATGTTCTGTATCTGATACTAAATTTATCATTCTCTCTATATAACTGTACAAAAACAAGCTAGTGGCTGCCTTAAACTGATATTTTGCATACATGAAATATTTTTGACGATCCTGTGGTGAATGAATTAACTTGAATGGAATTTAAAGGGACACTCGAGGCTGTGTGAACCACTCCTCCTTTTTCTTTAATGCCTTATGAGGGAAAATGCATTAAAAACAAGCAAAAATATAAGATCAAGGTGGCATGCTAAGCAACATAACCACTAGAACTCTCTATAGTGGTTATAGTCGCTAGAGTGCTCTGGCGCGTCTTGCAGTTTAATGGGACACAATGGGCATTCAGACTACTTCATTTCATTGAAGTGGTTTTAGTGCACTGTCCCTGATCCCTTAATCCTTCAGCTGAAAATATTGCAGTTTTAGAGAAAGTGCAGTGTTTTCTTTGCAGGATTAAGACTGTCTCTAGTGGCTTTTTGCTAGACGTGCTTCTTGCTGTTTCTCTGTGAAACCGTGCTGGACGTCCACGCTTTGCATGAGGACATCCAGCGTCTTCTAAATCCCAGAAGGAAAGCCCAATATGCGTGCTGCGCATTAGGTTCCTTCTCGCTATGATGTTGGAGGAGTTGGAGACTGAGCCATCACTGATGGATGGTGCTGGAATATGGTAAATTATAGTGTTCTCTTAACCGGTTTGATATGGACAGAAGCTCTTCTTCTTTTCACCCAGTTACCGACTCCCTCTTGGCTACTGATCTTTAGGTATTCTTCTATTTACACATTATCAGTTCATTTTTCACCCAGCCTGGGTATCCTTGATTGGTTGAGAAATCAGTGATAACCTACCCCCAGATCGTGAGTGACATGCCCAGTGTATTACCACCTTCCAAATATGAGCAAAAGCAAAAGTTGAGCGGAGTTGAGAAATCTGGAGAGCAGAGACAGGGCCAAAGGTGCCTTGATGACCCCTGGTCTTGGTCAGAACAGTTAAACTGACTCTGAATCAAGAGACAGTGTCTGCAGCCTACAAATACCTTAACCACTACAATGGTTTTTAGGCTTACACTTCCTCTTTAAGAATATGTTCCAGCATTGAACCAGTCAATCTATTTTTCACTATTTCAGGACATGTTTGTTGTAACAGCCACTGCTATTTTTTTTTTCCCTTTTGTATTTGCCATTTTGTATAAAATCATCATTCGTACTCTTGTACATAATACAAGTGCTATACTTCAGAAATGGTAAGTTTTTTTGTTTTTTCCCTCAATATGTGTCTTTGACGTTCTAAGGTTTTATTTTGATGTGTGTGTGTGTGTATATACAAGGAAAGACAGGCCTCCTTTGAATCTGGCGTAATTTTGTTTTGATGTAACGCCCAGTTACAATCCAGTTTGATTCCTCTAGAAAGGGACTGTGTAACTTGATGTACCGTACCCTCTAGCATTTTATAGGCCAGATTAACTGGTTTTGCAATAGGGATTGCCTCAGGTTCATGCCCTTTTGCAGACCAGTGTTGTTGGCTATGTTATTCCCTATACTTCAGCATTTTCATTTAGATATTGGCTCTGATTCTGTCTCCCATGATTCCATTAGCTCACCGAGCCTTTCAGGCATGCCTGGATTTGAGCCAAAGCATTGGTCAGTAAATAATTGAAATGGCAGCTGGGGTGTCTAGCTTATGTTACAGAGGCTAGGACGGATAACATGTATTATTTGGGCAAGGCTCTCACAGAAGCCCTGTGGTTGAAGTAACATTGATATGCTCCTGAACACTACTGCACTGTATATATACTCCTTGCTCTGAATCGGTCTGCTAAATTTACCGTCAGTTTGATGTTCTAGAAAGAAGTTATTAAAAGGATTAGGGCATACGTAATTTCTCCTCGGATCCACCATTTATGCCAAACTCCGTTTCTAATAAACTTTACTTTTGCTGGAAGGGTCTTGTGTTTTAGGATTTGTCTGGAATGTGTTGCAAACACAGCCCAATTCCATTAAAGCTTGAAGAAGTATCATTGAAATTTAAAATCTTCTGCTTGATTTGTTAAACTTTCCTTTTGAAGTTTATACTTTTTCTGCAAACCACTCAGTCAATCTTTGTTCTGGAGTGCAAAGCATGTCTTACTTAAAGCAACACTGCAAACAGTGTCCCTTCTTTTTTACTTTTATAAAAGTGCTGATTTCAAGAGAAATTGGCACATTCACAAAGCTCCTCGGTTGCTCCCTGAGTTGGGATAGCGTTCTTCTTGTTTGCTTTGTTCCCCAGGACAATGCAGAAGGTAATGCTTCTCATAGAGTGCAACTTGTGCATTCTGCTTACTAATGTTGCTCTATAGGAAGCAGTGGATTGGTTAGCAGGTTATCGGTAGGGATGATCTCACTGAGATAGAGTGGCTCTGCAGTGAGGAGAACCTCTTGTCTCTGGGTTAAAGGTAAGATAACCCTTTGTTTTACAAAAAGAGGAGGACCAGTAAACTGAACAATTCAGTGTTATAAATAAATGTATTGATTTAAAACCTTGGGGTGTTTCTTTAACCCCTTCCCATAAATGAAACTGGGCTTCTATCCGCTTGCTGAATAGTTCCATTCATAGTAGTCAGTAGAGGAACTTTCCTAATTATAACAGGAACATATAGGTTTTTCGCACAGTGTTCGAGCCACACAATCATTTATACTGACAGAGGAAGCATACATTCTCCTATAAAGTATTTAACGGAGTAATGGGCCTGTAGTGGCAATGGGTTTTGTAAACTGTGGTTAGAAGCAACTCTGTATAGTACTGGTTTCCAGTGTATGTGGATTCATTTTACCATGTTAGATTAGAGCTTGTTGGGATGTCACATTGGTGATCCATTTTAGAAAAAGCCTGATGTTGCAGGCAGGGGGACCTTTTATATTTAGAAATACATTTAAATTTTTTTATTCATTTTTTAAATCCTGTTGAACTTCCGAGTAAAATGTTTCTCTATCTCAATATAAAGTATTTTTAATTCTTAAAGGACCACTATAGTGCCCTGAGGGTGCCCCCACCCTCAGGGACCCCCTCCCGCCCGGCTCTGGAGAGGGGAAGGGGTTAAACACTTACCTTTCTCCAGCGCCGGGCGGGGAGCTGTACTCCTCCTCTCCTCCTTGCTCGCGACATCATCGGCTGAATGCGCATGCGCGGCAGGAGCCACGCACTCATTCAGCCGGTCGCATAGGAAAGCATTTATAATGCTTTCCTATGGACGCTTGCGTGTTCTCACTGTGATTTTCACAGTGAGAAGCACGCAAGCGCCTCTAACGGCTGTCAATGAGACAGCCACTAGAGGCTCTGGAGGCTGGATTAACCCTCAGTATAAACATAGCAGTTTCTCTGAAACTATGTTTATAAAAAAAGGGTTAATCCTAGAGGTACCTGGCACCCAGACCACTTCATAAAGCTGAAGTGGTCTGGGTGCCTAGAGTGGTCCTTTAAGAAGAAAGGTAAAAATAAACTTTACTGACTTTAAAAATAAAATAAACTTTACTGCTCTGTCATGTATTTTCTTTTCCAGTTTTCCTTTTCTTATGCTCATTGTGTTTTAATGATTACTCTTTGCCACTTGCCTTTACTTAAATGTATTCTCTTGTACCGGATATCAATACATGGGCGTCTCCATTTTGTTTTCCTTTTGTCCATGAAGTTTGCAGCTTGCCTTTCTGTGGAATTATTGTGACTGATGGATTGTGGGTAAATTAGCTTGGCAGCTAAAATGGAACTATGCTAAAGCTCCGCTCATAGCCAAAATTTGCTCAGCCCCCATGAGAAAAAGTGATCCCATTGGGGTCGTGGGTTTAATTCCTGGCAGTGTTTACTCAGCCTTTCATCCTTTCGAGGTAAATAAAAGGAGTACCGTAATAGTAACATCCCCAGAGAATATCTATACTTTTCCTGGCTAAACACTTTATTATTATTATTTATAACTAAAAGATCAGGTGAATTGGAAAAAAAAAAATTAAAACAAGGAAAAATAAAGGAGGGGGGGAGAGAGAGGAGAATTTGATTATTTTTAAAGTGAAACCTGGAAAATGACACAGCTGCTTAGAGGACCACTATAGTGCCAGGAAAACATACTCGTTTTCCTGGCACTATAGTGCCCTGAGGGTGCCCCCACCCTCAGGGTCCCCCTCCCGCCGGGCTCTGGGGAGAGGAAGGGGTTAAAATCTTACCTTTCTCCAGCGCCGGGCGGGGAGCTCTCCTCCTGTTCGGCTGAATGCGCATGCGTGGCAGGTGCTGCGCGCGCATTCAGCATTCACTGTGATTTTCACAGCGAGAAGCATGCAAACGCCTCTAGCGGCTGTCAATTAGTTTCTCTGAAACTGCTATGTTTAAAAAAAAAAATTGGGTTAACCCTAGCTGGACCAGGCACCCAGACCACTTCATTCAGCTGAAGTGGCCTGGGTGCCTAGAGTGGTCCTTTAAGTGGTTTGGTTTCTCCTTTTAAAAATAGGAGACCTAGAATGTAAGCTCATTGAGCAGGGCCCTCCACCTCTCTGTTCCTGTCCATCCACTTGTCTGGTTACAATTATATGTCTGTTAGTCCACCCATTGTACAGCGCTATGGAATCTGATGGCACTATATAAATAATATTTATGAAAATTCACTTTCATTTTAAATGTACATTGCTTCAATCTGTTCTTCTTCTCTTCTCACTCCTAACCCCTTCTTCCTTTCTTCCCCCCTTTCTGCTAAAATACATAAGGCATAGTGCTCTTCTTTGTCTTATGTATTTTTTACCCAAGTGAGGGCTTGGGTAAAAAGGCATAGTCTCGCTTATCGCAATACAGTATCGTGACAATCTCTATAGAATCCATAGACATTAGTGCTGCACTCACAAACATGCTTGAGAGTACAGCACTGACGTTGGCTGCTGGCAGATGAAACCCTGGGAGTTTGGCTGATTTCTAGGTTGAAGCGTTGCGGTGTTTCTCTAGTTCCAATAAATGTGCCTTAAAGCATCGGTATATTCTTAGCAAATATTTGAAACATGAAAGTGTGAGCTTTATACCTGTATGTACACAAACGCACCACTGTATCATTGTCTGGCATAGTTTAAAAAGTGGAGCAACGAACATGCACAATAACTGAATTTACCAAAGTATACATAAAACAATTTTTTTTTTTTTTTTTTTGTTCTTTATTTTCAGTTGTTTTTCAGGTTTTGTAGGGTACAAAATGGAGAGGGGGTTACACATTGCAACATCACTTGTGCCATTATTTTTTAAGTCTTACATGGGAGACGGTACATAAAACTACTTTTAATGTTGATCTACGTCAAAACTGATTGATCTGATTCTGCTAGCACAGCAATTTTACTGTTCAATACAAATAAGTTGATCTGCATGCTTTTTATTTTATCGTTTTTTAAAAGAATACATCAGAAACTGTCTTTGGAAAACACCAGGTTATGTTTTACTCAAACCAAATACACAGTGGCCTTTGTACTTAGACAGGCCATGTTCGTTCTTGAGGATTCACAGAAAGCATAATTTGCAAAAATAAAGCCTGCCGTTAGACAGTTTGCTTTCTGTAAGGAATGCCTTACTGAACTACTCCTTACCCCCAGTTTGTCAGCTTTCCCAAACAAAGAATTTTTTATAGTGCTGGCAATCCTCTGCCAGGAACACTTCCTGATTATGATGCTGAAAAATTTTCCATGACACAAATTTCATGTTTTTCCCTTCTATATTGTAACGCCTAGCTATCCAACAACATTTGGATGTTAAAACGGCAACAAACTAAAGGAAATGACAAATCTTTACATAAACAATGGAGATTTCTTTAATCATCTAATGTGTATGTGATATTGTCCATTTTAGACCAACTCTAAACATTTAGCTAGTGCATTCTGTTGGGTAAATTGCCCTATTTTTTTACCAAGATGTTACTGAATACTGAATTGTACTAAATGAACATTTTAGGATAACATAGCTGTTCTGAAAAAATTCCAGTCCCATACATACCCATTCATCCAGTGTAACCTGTCATAATTGTAGCTGTTTAGCCTTTACCGCTATAGTGAATGCATAGCTGTATTTAGCTATCATTAAAAAAAACAAACATTCACAGGTAAATTAGAAAAAAAATTACACTGTTCTTACTACAGGAGCAAGGCATCTCATTGTGCGAGGTTCCCACTATTGTGTTGCATTTTTCTTAGACCTCTGTTTTGCACAGTCACGTTTGTGCAATAGTACACCATTGCCATCACTCCTGTTGTCTTCATCTGCCAGGACCTGATTATGTATCTGCACTGGAAAAGAGAATTGCTGGGAAGAGAGCTTCGTCTTGTTCGCCACCAAGCTAGGGAAGTCACCGTTCAGGGTCTTTGTGAAGAAAAAAATAAATAATGCAGTGCCAATTTGGTTTACCTTACTTTTACATGCAGCAAAGCCATTCTCATTCGCAACCATTATAGCTAATCACCTATGCATACAGTGCTTTAAGCCATTTTGTCTCTCTCCTCCCCTTGCTGCTCATTTATGTGTGATGATGAGGAAGTTGCCACCAGAACAGGCAGAATTCAGTTTCTGGTTTGGGGAGGTGGGGGACGACTTTCTGCATTCTGGCAGAAAATGCTGCAAAACAGAAATTTTACTTACATGGAAACCAGTACCAGGTGATGCTCCCAGCACGGACTTCCACACCTCTGTCTGACTTCACATGGGCCTCGTGTGTTCCAATCACATGCGTTGCATGTGTAAGGGGAGGGTTTTTAAAACAAAACTGTGTGCAGTTCCTACAAGGGAGAAAATGATCATGTTTGTCGCCAGTGTGCTGTACAGTACTTGTTAACAGAATCACTGAAGTGGTGGTCACTTTAAGCCTTTGCTAGTAGTTCAGCATTTGACATTTTAAACCATGATAGAGGAACAGTCTGCACCCATACTACAAAATGTTTAAGAATACAATCTGCAACCTTTTTATAAATGATTGGGTGAGGCTATATCACAGACACATGTTACATACAGTTTAACGTTGTTTTGTACAGCTGAGAAGGATTTATTTTGACCTTGGCATTCTAGGCACTTTCCATCAATAACATGTTTTGAAACAGGAAAATAAGCAATTTGTCCTTGCACTGACACATGTAGGAATGACCTCAGTAATCAGAGTAATAGTTTACATGACTCTTCATTCATACAGTAGATGTCAAAATTGGTGCCTTTTTTTTTTTTTTTAAGTAGGTGGAGTTAAAAGGCATCCATGACCATGAAATGACCATGATGTGAGCATTTTGTAAGAATGAATCCATGCATTTAGTTTACCGTTCGAGTCATAGATGTCTGCCAAAACTTTGCCTCAAGAGGTCAAGAGGTAAAGATAATCTTTTGACTGAACCCCCCACCCCCTCTTTTTTTCTTTTTTTCCCTTTATTATCTTTTCCCCTTTCTTATCTTTGACACAAATAAAATAATATTGCTTTAAAATTATTCTTTCTGTCACAAAGTATGAGTTAGAAATTGGAAACTCTCAGCATAAAACCAGGAGCAACAACAAGATTCCAGACTATAAAAAAACAAACAAAAAAATATATATATATATATATACACACACACACACAAACACTACACATATATACATATACACATTCCCACACCCTAATGGGTGTATTCGATACTCTACTAAAATAGAATTAAAAAAAAGAAATAAAATTGTTGAGCCGTAAGTAAACGTGCACAGAGCACCATATGTGTCTGCCTTGTAAATAAACCGTTCTACCCGAATAGAAGACATGTGTTCACCTTTATATATAGAGTTAGCCTGTCTGAAAAATTCAATTTATTTATGTGGTCTTGTTCTTTCCTGTTGTCTCCTAAGAATAACCGAATCATCCCCAGTGTCTGCAGAATTGTGGCACCCCTTGGAATTTTTTCAGGCAGCGACTGAGCTGGCCTCCAGTTTGGGAAGCCTAGAATGTGCAGATGCTTACAAAGCCCATCCCCGCAGACATAATTAACCAATAAAGTGCCTGACTGGAATGTCACAATTTAAAAAAAAATTAGTTTGAGAGATTTTGTGAAATGTTTTGCTGCCTTTTTTTTAAATTAATTTTTGCTTTTAGCAGTATAACTTCACCCTCTTAGCTACACCTCTCCTTTTCACAAACCCTCTTCCTAATAGTAAGGTGTTGACTTGAGTCCACCTCAAAGCCAAACACTAACCTTTTATTTAGATGGTATTTTAAAGCCTTCCTATGGGGCAACAGTCCAGATAACAGGACAGAAACTGCGTATTGGGTGGAGTCATGCCAGCGACTCAGCTCACATTATCGCATTGCCCAAGCAGAGTATTTCTCAAATTTGGTTGACTAAGGAGCCGGAATTATGAGGCAAAACTTTAGCTTTCTGCCCAAAAAAATAAACAGGAGGAAAAGATTGCATAAATATGGAGTCCGAACCTACTAAATGCTTAAAGTTTGGGTTGATGTCTGGAGTATACAAATATGTATTCCTTTTGCTATAATGCCCTTGTCACCTCTTAGACCCAGACCCTCAAGGGTACAAAAGGTAGTTTATTTCGTTTTTTTTCCTCCTTTTTGCAGTGTTGTTCTCCTTAAAGAAGCTCCGCCTCTTCGGGATAATCATTAGCAATGATCTCAGCTATTTTTTCAGTCACTTTTATTTGCAATCAGATTCCAAGTTGCTTTTGACAATGCTAGATGTTAATTGAACTAGAAGACCATATATTCCACTCCACTGTAAATAAATTTACCATTGTTTGGGTCTATTTGTGAAAGCGAAACCCTGCTATGATTTGTTGATTTGTGATGGAAACTTCTGTTTTGCAATATATTTCACCGCAAAAATTGTTTACTCTTCCGGAGGTGAATAGGTAGCACATCATTCTAACAAACTAAAAGTTAGCTACAACTCAGAATAGCATGTGGCTTTTTAACTTTATTACACACTTTACTAATTTCCAATTTACTGTCCATTAAGTAAAGACGAACCTTTATATTTGTGTCCAGAATTCATTTTGTGTTCAGAAAATGAAACTTTACCCGTACTTATTTTCCCCCCTCTCTATTTTGCTTAAAATAGCTTTGCTTTTTAGGTTTAGACTCAAGTGATATGGTAAAGTTCAGATCCTGCACTTCAGAGAAGCCGAGCACTGGCTAATCAGTTTAAAGGGAGACTGTAGTCACTGTAACCGTTTCATCTCTTTGAATAGGTTAGTGTTTGGAGTTTCCTGGCACTGTCCCTCCATTCAGTGTTAAACCATTTTCAAGCAGTTTAACAGTAAATAAGGGACGCTGGTCACCCACAGCCCAGCCCTCACTGGAGGTCTGGCTAAAGCAGAGGACACACACTTCCTTGTAGTTATACCGTTCATACCAGCAATGGGAGCTCTGAAAGGCTAAAAGCAGTCAGCTGACTCTCAGCCAATCACAGTTGCCCATTGCTGATTAGGCTAATACGTCCTCTTTCACCAAAGTCACAGCTGCTGGGGAGTCATGTTTAGCATAAAGGGACAGGTTCAGGTAAGTAAATCTCAAATGCTCCCCATGCCATTGAACCACCAGCGGAAATGTCATTGTCGAGGGTCTCCAGATGGTGACAGTGCCACTTTAAAATTAAATAAAGTTCTCCTAGTCGAGTTTTTTAAATTTTTTATTTCTGTTTTGGATTCTTTTTTTCCCTGCAAGTTGATGGTATTTTGAATAAGCTAGCCTCAAAATGTTTCTCTCTCAATTTCATTACCCTGCATATAACATGATAGATATTGCGGTTCCCTTCTTGAATGACAGCCTGGAGCTAAATCCTAGGATTACATAGGATTCACAGTAAATCACCTGAAACTATTAAAGAACTAAAATAATAGAATTATTTGATTTAGTGTAATAATTTGCATTCCTTGGTTAACCTTGTGTTGAACAGACCATGCATGTGATGTGTTTAACTCATTTTCAACTCGTAAGTAACATTTATTAATAATCCTGCATTCTACATGGCGAGCTTTCCAGTACATAATGCTGGCTGTAATAGTGTTAACTCCACTTCCTTTCTCAATTGTGTGCGTTGTTTAGGTTTACATTTATGGATATGCAGAGAAATCCGACACTGTGGTAAATGTTCGAATATGTAACACAATAATAGCAGGTGTGCCATCATGTCAAAGGGCGCAGTCTTACAACTGCAGTAATAAGGTAAAAAGACCATAGAATTCTATGCACCATAACAAACCTACACTAGAATGCAATTTGGCAGAAAATTCAGGTCTTCAAGGACCACTATAGTGCCAGGAAAAAAAACTTGTTTTCCTGGCTCTATAGGGTCTTTGGGTCCCCCCCACCCTCAGGGTCCCACTCCACCGGGCTGAAGAGGGAGGAAGGGGTTAAATTCTTACCTTTCTCCAGCGCCGGGCCTCTGGGGACTCTCCTCCCTCTTCCGACGTCATCCGCCGAATGCGCATGCGCGGCAAGAGCTGTGCGCGCATTCAGTCAGTACATAGGAAATAATTTCTCAATGCTTTCCTATGGACGTCTGCGTCTTCTCACTGTGAAAATCACAGTGGGAAGCGCCTCTCAGGGAGACAGCCACTATAGGCTGGATTAACCCTAATGTTAACATAGCTGTTTCTCTGAAACTGCTATGTTTACAGTTGCAGGGTTAACCCTAGATGGACCTGGCACCCAGACCACTTCATTGGGCTGAAGTGGTCTGGGTGCCTATAGTGGTCCTTTAATGAATTACCTCCTGACTGATAGTCGTTCTACTCACTCTTGTCTAATACGAGGTGGAGTGGTGCCTATTGTGTTTCATTTGGCATTGGCTTTATTCACGCGCTATGATATATGAGAGCGACTTCTCTAATTGCAAATATAATCGTTCACATTTTATTGTATTTGCTGAATTCCTCAGACCAGGGGAAGCAGTTTTGCTTTACTCATCCTGAGCTCTGTCTGCAGCATTTGTATATGAATAACAGGAAGGAAAGAGTACATAGCTAAGGCTGGTTTCCACAGCCTGTGGGAAAATTGGCTCATATATGTTAAGGAGGAAGTATCACTCGTTATATCGGTAGATACATCAGATGGTATGACATCACAGACTTTGTAATGGTTCTGTTTGCTGTGGTTTGTAAAAAGAATATTTCAGTCAAAGGCACATCTTAAGACTATTGTTTAAAATTGGTCTTTAACTTTGCATTTAAACAACTCCCATGAAATGTCAGCTTTACGGCCTAGAAAATCTCTTTGCAACACTTGTTAGGTTGGTTTTTTTTGTTGTTTTTTACAATTCGTGTCTACATTTGATATAAGGTACGATGCTGTTAAAGTAAACTTTATCATTTTGGACCAATTTTTATTGTTTTGGAAGATTACATTCTTAGAGTTTAGTCTGTTTTAAATGTTGTTCTTGTTATGGAAACTTGTGAGGCTAAATCACCATTAAAGACTCTGTCCAATTCAGGGAGCACAAACCGGTTGTTATGTTGCTGGGAATTAGAACAGAATGTGAAGTAGCTTAAGCTTGTTGCAAGGTCAAATCCATGTTAACCCTTGCCTGCCCTGCACCAGATCTCCATTGTTGACCACTGACTTAGATATTGTTTGTGCATGGTTAAGGCCCCGGTGTATAAACAAGGGATGTTATTTTTTCCTTGGGCAGCCAGATCACCTAACCCATCAACTACGAAGTACAAGCAGCAATCATTTTCAATCTTATGTGTTCATCTCATTCGTAGTCTGTCCATCTTTCGGTTATTTATTGCGGTTATGTGATTATGTTGGAACAAAAACTACAGCATAACATGTTGAAATCAGGCATGAGTGTTTAAGTATTTCAGCAGCTTCTCTGTGGGTTAGAGTGAAAGAAAAGCCAAAGTTCTGTTATTCTTTACCTTGTTAGTAATATTATGTTACTGTGTGCACCAGGGAAAGGCTGCTTCACAGCTGTCTGACCTTAATCTGATTTCTCAAAGCTTCTCAGAACATTGAATGCGCTAGGAGCATTGTGAAGGGGTGAAAAAAAGCTAAAATCTATATTCAGGTTTTGGATTGTAATAATGGAAATGGTTTATTTGGGATATATAGTGAGATAGTACATGAGTTTAACCTCCATACGATTCTGCCCTGTTAATTTTGTAGTTTATTCACTAAACATTTGACAACGATCCAAAATTTACACCACGTTGGCAGAGCCAGAGGGGTTTGTCAGGTTGTTTATTGCATAAAATGTTTAGCGAACAAACCTAAAGGTCTCTGAGCACACGAACACTAGGGTTCAAGGTACAGTTAGAGTTCCTCTGCCAGCAGTGTGACTGCTGGCTCTGCCTTGTTGGAGTGGCGGATTCGAAGCATGTTGCTCATTGTTACTCTGTAAGTTTGTACTGGGCCCATTGCCAGGAACCCTCATAACCACCGCTTGACTTACAGCTTCAGAAATACAGACGCACGTGGAGTACATTCATGAAATGTGATCTCATGCTGATGAAATTTGCTTTTCCAGTTTTCAGTTAGTCACATATTTACACGTACAAAGCAGAGTGCTATATAAAGGGGAGTAAGGGAAAACCCTGTGAAAAACATGCATGTCCTATAAACAAGCAAGCCAAACAAAAAAGAAGAAATAACGTCAGTTTTGTATTTATTTTAAGAAACTCACACATACATATATACTTATATTCCTTTTAAATCAAAGCATGTGTTGATCCAAATATACAAATGTCCAGAAACTGGAAATGGACTGTACAGTTGTAGAGGATGAAGTCTGAAGCACAGTGCCTGTCTGTGTACATTTGTATGTCAGCTGAAAATTCTGGGAAAGTGTGGACACGTGATTTCTCAGAATTATTGTGCCTAATGCGGACTTTTGCAAGGTCCAACTTAAATGCACCAAGTTTCAACCACCGTGACCACGTCTCTTTTTAGAAGTGGCCGTGGTGGTTGGAAACTGTATGTGCAGTGCTGTTTTGCTTGAATCGCTGCACATTCTGAGATATTTACACTTTTGTGCTGGGGTCTAGTTGCACCTGCCTAATATCAGTTCTGTGCAGAAATTGTATATCTCTTGTCAGCGCGCACTGTGCTTTGGCGACACGTGTAATCCTCTTCTATCTTTGTAGGCACTGCCCGGAAAACTCCTGTAAAGTTAAAGGCACACTATAGTCACCAGAACATATACTGCTTAATGTATTTGTTCTGGTGAGTAGAATAGTTCCCTTAAGGCATTTTCATGTAAACACTGCCTTTTCAGAGAAAAGGCAGTGTTTACATTGCCCCTACGGACACCTCCAAGTGGCCACTCCTTAGATGGCCACTGGAGGGGCTTCCTGGCTCAGGGCTCCACAGTAAGCAGCCCTGCCGTTCAGCGTCCTCACGTTCTGCATGGAGACGCTGAATTTTCCTCATAGAGATGCATTGATTCAGTGCATCTCTATGAGGAGGACCTGATTGGCCAAATCCCGCCCCTGTGCTGATTTTAGCCAATCCAATGCTTTCCCATTGCTTTCCCTATGGGAAAGCATTGGATTGGCTAAAAATCAGCCATTTTGATGTCAAAAGGGGGCAGAGCCATTGCCGACGGACCCGCACAGCGTTGGATATAAGGTGAGTTTTCAACTTTTATAGGAGGGCAAGCCAACTATATGGTGGGTTTAGTACTGTAGGGTCAGGAATACATGTTTGTGTTCCTGACCCTATAGTGATCCTTTAAACCTATATCTTGTCTGTGAGCTACCTCCCTGCATTTACAGATGCACACATTTTTTTAAAGTGTGTGTGTGTGTGTGTATGTATATATATATATATATTTTAATTTCTTGTTAAATTCCATCATGCCCACCACTCCCTCCCTCTCCTTTCCTTATAAGAGCAAACGCATGTGCTCTGAGCCAGGGAAATATTCCAATCAAATTCTTTGCAATGTGAAACATTTGATTGGACCTCAAGGGGGGAGGCAGTAAAGTCAGACAGTGTGTTTAACCCAACACTGGATTGCAGGTATGTTTATTCTTCTTTTTTAGGGTTTACTTAAAAATAAGTGTTAGGGATGAACTTATTGCTAATACCCCACAGGCAATTCTAAATAAATTTAAAAAATTGATTAAAAAGGTTTGGCGGTGTACATGCAATACTAATACTAATGATAATGATGTTTTAAACTGCACCTTCACAATGTTCCTAAATGTTTCACTACAGCCAGCCTTTTAGTACTGTATAATTATGTTGGTATGCTAGAATGATTTTCTTACCTGACAATTTGTATGCTCTTGATGTATACAAACTGAAATGGTCAATTGCACTCACCACTTATTAAAGACTAGTCTGAGATTATTTCCCTGGAATTACGATTATAATTGCTATATTGGTTTTCTTTCGATCAGCATCCCATGTAAGACATTTTATAAACATCCTGTAATTACATATTTACATAGCTGAAAAGAGACTTCCGTCCATCAAGTCCAGCCTTCCTCACATTTTTTTTTGCTGTTGATCCAAAAGAAGGCAAAAAACCAATTTTTTTGCAACAAACTAGGAAAAAAAATTCCTTTTTAACCCCAGTATGACAGATTAATCCTTGGATCAAGCGGCTATTACCCCACATTGAAAAAATTATATCCTTGAATATTCTGTTTTTGTAAGTATGCATCTAGTTGCTGTTGGAACATTTGTATGGACTCTGATAAAACCACTTCTTCAGGCAGAGAATTCCACATCCTTATTCTTCTCACAGTAAAACAACTTTTATTTGCCTTAGACGAAATCTCCTTTCTTCCAGTCTAAACGCATGGCCTATGTCCTATGTAAAGTGCGGTTTGTGAATAGATTTCCACACAATGGTTTGTATTGGCCCTGGATATATTTGTATAATGTTATCATATCCCCTCTGAGGCAACATTTTTCTAAACTAAAGAGGTTTAAATTTGTTAACCTTTCTTCATAGCTGATATGTTCCATTCCTTTTTTCAATTTTGTAGCCCACCTCTGCACTTTTTCTAGTGCCATAATATCCTTCTTTAGAACAGGTACCCAAAATTGCATAGCATATTCAAGATGTAGTCTAACCAGTGATTTATAAAGAGACAAAATGATATTCTCATCCTGAGAATGAATGTCCTTTTTCATGCATGACAGTACCTTACTGGCCTTAGCCACTGCTGAATGACATTGCACATTGTTGCATAGTTTGTCTATAACAATTCCCAAGTCCTTTTAATGTGTTGTTATCCCTAATTCGCTTCCATTTAGGGTATATGTTGCTTGTGCATAACTTTGCATTTTTCAACATTAAATTTCATCTGCCATTTGAGTGCCCAGTCTACCTAAATCCCTCTGCAGCAAAGTAATATCTTGCTCACATTGTATTCCTTTAAAGAGTTTTGTGCCATCTGCAAACACTGAAACATGACTTTCAATGCTTTTTTCAAGATCATTTATAAACATGTTAAATAGAATAGGTCCCAGAACAGAACCCTGAGGGACACCACTTGCCACCTCTGTCCATCTTGAAAATGTACCATTAATGACAACTCTTTGTACTCTATTTTTAAGCCAATGTGCTACCCAAGAACAAGAATTTTCATCTAGACCGAATTCCTTGAGTTTGAACACTAATCTTTTGTATGGAACTGAATCAAATGCCTTGGCAAAATCCAAATGGATCACACCCACTCAACACCCTGATTTATACTTCTACTTCTTCTTAGAACGCAATCAAGAATGTAAGCTCATTGAGCAGGGCCCTTCACCTTTCCACCTCTGTTCCTGTACGTCCAATTGTCTGGTTAAAATTACTTGTCTGTTAGTCCGCCCAATGTACAGCGCTACGGAATGTGATGGCGCTATATAAATAATAAAATAATAAGTTAGTTTGGCATGACCTGTGCTTCATAAAACCATGCTGACTTTTGCTGATAACCATGTTTTTCTCAAGGAATTCTTGAATATTATCCCTTAATAACCTTTCAAGTACTCTTCCAGCCACAGAAGTTAAGCTCACAGGTCTATAATTTCCAGGCAAAGATTTTGAACCCTTTTTGAATATAGGAACCATATCTGCCTTCCTCCAATCCTCCGGAACACTTCCTGAAAGAAAAGAACCGTAAAAGATTAAAAACAGAGGCTTACTTATTTCTACACTTAGTTCCTTAAGTACTCGTGGAGGAATACTGTCAGGCCCTGGAGCTTTGTTTTTATTAACTTTCTTTAGTTGCTGCTGCACTTTGTCTTGAGTTAACCAATTACAATTTTAATGCACGTTTTTAGCAACAATCATTTGCACATCTATTGCCATGGGTTCTTCCTTAATATATATGGAGTAGAAATAGTTATTTTCCTGGTCTTCTTTAACGAACACCCCCATCCCAGTTTTTTTTTCAAATTCTTTTAGTGGTGCATTAAGGGAACAACATGCAAGTATCGACATTTTGACATTTCCAAGAGTAGCATACGAGATAAACAATATATATTGAGTTGTCAGCACCTTTTTTGTTAATATAGTAGAGAAATAACAGCGAAGTTTAACAAGATTTACAAGAAATAGTAACCACTGGTCCGCGCAGTAGAATCTGAGAACATCAGATCTTACAAGAAAAGAAAATGGGATAGTATCCACTGGGCAGTGCTTCACAAAATATTATTGCCAACCTATTAGGTAAATAAAGCACACCTTCTTGTAGGAGAACCGTGGGTTATTCCCAAGACTGCTTAGGCAATGTCTGGGGGTGGGAGGCTGAGGCAATATGAGCAACGTTAATGTGCATAGGAATTTCTATGTTTGAGGACAGTGACTGTGCGGCACATATTAAATGCTTACAAAGTAAAAGAAAATAAAAAACACAAGCTAAGATGAAACACATGTTAATAAAGCATATCAATCTGGAGCTGTACGCTGGCTATTAAACACCTTCGCACGGTAGGAGAGTCCATCAGCAGGTTGTTGGTCAGGGACGTAAGGGGTGGTAGTCCTAGAAAGTGCTGTCCGAGTGAGGGATGGGGAAAAGAGAAAAAAAAAAGGCAAGTTACTCAGCCGATGCCTCCTCTCAAGGCCCATTCCTTCCATGTGCTAGGAGGTGCTGTTGGGGATTGCCCAAGCATGTCCCTGGGTGTCAGCATGCCAGAGCTCCATATAGGTGGCAGCGTGTTGGAGTAAACTTGCCCCCGGACAGGTCCTTTCATGGTTGGGGAAGCTGAGCGAGGTGAGAGATGGCTCGAGTGCTTCGCACCGCTCGGGCGCTTCACTTGTTTCTTCCGTTGGATCACCGAAAATCGGGCGTATGTGGCGTTTCTACCGCTAGCAGAGCGAGGTAAGGTAGCCCTCCAGCTCCCGGTGTGTACTATGGGCTGCCCCTGGGTGCCATTAGCCATGGTGCTTTGGGTTTTCCCTTTTGGAGGGTAGTGGAGCGTCTTGCCTGACTGCCGTTGCAGGTGGCAGCGTGGTCTCCATCTGCGCGGGCAATGCTTCGGGGCTGTATGCCTAACAATCTTCTTAACGGGCAGACGTGCACTCGGCACTGTTGGTGTGGGAGGTGCTGGTGTCGGAAGTCGTGCAGGTTGGCTAGTTATTCTGTTCCAGAATTGCTCACATATGGCATCAAATCTGGCCCTGAAGAGGGTGCTCCATTCCTGGCTCTCCCGATCTGCTTGTGAGTGTGGAGGCACTGCTGCGGCAGCCATTTTGGGTACGTCGCTTGGTTTCATGCTGGCCACTGAAGGCATGTGCTGTGGGGACAGGCTTATATTGTGATCACTATTTCCCAAGTGCTCGCCTACTTGAATGTTGGTCAAAAGATCAACGTTGTTTGTTAGAACCAGGTCCAGGCAATCATCCTTTCTAATTGGTGCTTGTACAAGTTGTGACATGAAGGTGTCATTTAACAAGTTCAAAAACCCAGTTCCCTTTGCTGAACTACTAGTCGCTCTGTCCCAATTTATGTCTGGGTAATTAAAATATCCAATAACTAATGTTACCTAGATTTGCAGCTTACACAATTTGCTCAAACAGCTGTTGTTCCTCATAAATATTAACATTAGGTGGTTTATAACACATCCCACCTTTCCTGTTTTTTCTGTCGTTCCTAAATAGTGTGTACCCATTTAAATTAACTTCCCAATCATGTTTCATCCCACCATGTTTTAGTTATGCCTATTATGTCATATTGTAATGTTGTCTAATAGTATTTTTGTTGCATAATTCAAAGCAACAATTCTGTGTACATACATAATGCATTTAAATATGCAAAAAAATTAAATTTACTTCATTAGACTTTCAATTGTACCTTTTTATAGTGACACATCAATGCCTTATGGTGGGTACACGTGTATTCCAGAACATCTTCCTTAAAATAAGCTAGTGGTATAATTGTATGTTTATTTAGGCTCACCAGATAAAATAAGAAAGTCGTAGTAGTCTTTATTTTTAAAGTCCTTGGTAGCACTGGTGAGTGTGGGGGTTGGCAATCTGTAATTCTGCACCAAGTCACATGTGTGAGCCTGCAGTATCTGTGTCAGTATTACCATCCCTCCCTACCCAAACAAATCATTTGGCTAATAGCTAAATGCTGTAAATCAGCCTTGCTAGAGTATATTATCTTTACCACTGTTATTTTTCCATCTTTTTTCACCTACTGGGGGAAAAACAGTAGTTGCTGATGGTAGAGAGATTGTATCACCACCTCACTAGATCAGTCCAACTAAATCAGAACAAAATTACAGGCTTGAGGGTAATGTGGTCTTTGCCCTAGAACATGATGCGAGTAAAAGATGAACAATTATTGCCCACAAGATTTCTAAAGAGCTGCATTCTTAAGCGGTTTCCTCTGTTTTACTTCGGACCGTTATAATCATTCCATATCAAGATTTCTATCAATCACTTGCAAGCCCAAGACTTAGCTTATCCTCTTTTGTACACATTAAAATAATTATTTTTATAGAGGCAGCATACGGGTTGAAGTCACTCAATTAAGAGGTTAGAGGGTAGCTTAGAAAATGGCCGTCCACTTAAGCAGTATTTGAACAAGGTTGAGCAAGTGGCGCTACATTACTAATGAGAGAAATCCTATTTCCAGAAGCAGGTTAAAGGAACATTGCAAGTTAGTTTTCCAACCATGTGTTGGAGGGATAGGAAAGCTGTCCCTGATTAGCTCAAGCAACAATTTAAATAGAAATAATCATTGAAATATAGGGATGTCCTGTGGCAAAACAAACCAAAGACAAATAGAAGGTATACTAACACACTGAGAATGCAAAACATTTATAAAGATGCCATAACAACTGTAGCTTAATATGTGGCTTTGGTCTATAGATCATGCCTTCAGTGTCACTGCTCAATTATCTACCAATTAGGAGTTAAATCACTTTGTTTATGCAGCCATAGCACCTAGGACCAAAATAGAAACTTCTAAAGTAAACACACTGTGCTGTAATATTGGTTTGAAAATGAAACTTTTTTTTTTGTTTTGTGTAGGCTGTTGTAAACATGATCTATAAACCATAACTGCTTTCCTAAGCTAGTCATTTTGGTTCTTAGAGTATCCCTTTAAGAGCTTTCCGATCCGTTATTCAAGTTTTTGCTTCTATGTACTATACCTAGGTCTGCCCCATGTCAGACTGATCCCACAAAAAATTTTGTTTCAATATCATATGACAAGATCCAGGTCCCCTGACACCTGGTTAATTTTTTAGCCTGTAACACAGATTCTGATTCAGACTGTGCAATGTGTGTTTTGTAGCAATCAGACACATTTTGAACAAACCTTTCCAATTTTTATCACCAAAGTTACATAGTTACATAGGCAGAAAAGAAACATGCGTCCATTAAGTTCAGCTTTTTTCGACTCTGCAGCAGTTCAATGTTGGTATTATTGTTAACATATTCAAGGAGTCCATTTCATAGAGGTGGGGTGATAGATACTGCCATTTTCAGCTGTTCAGGAAGTGCATCTGTAGTGTTAGTACAATAAAAAGAAAAACCACGGAGCTTACTGAAAATGTTTAGCACACTTTTATCCAAATTACGTCAAAGTGATGGTAATGCTGTATGACAAGCAAGGGCTGCAGACATCACAAAGGCTGTATTTGTACAAATATATTTAATGGCTCATATGTTGAAATAAATAAACCTAACCTGTATACCTGTGATATAGCCGACAAATGTGGGCAAAGTTCCACCTTTAAGCTGTACACACAAGGAAACGTAGTGCCAGTTTGCTGTTTTTCAGAGTATGAGATACAAAATTGTTCTAATTTCAGTCCTACTGTCTATGTTAACATTTCTTGATTCCAAAGTCAATAAGTAGAATAAGCATTCCAAACATGGACTGCTAGGGTACAGCCTTATGGTTTCCCAGTCCCTTCTAAGCACCTTGTTTTATGAAGGAATGTTTTCAAATAAGCCTACTAACATTCATTCCTTGATATTTTAAAATGTGGTCAACTTCATGCAGGAATGCCTCTTTTAAGTAGCACTCTAAACACCAACACAATCTCTTTAGTCTTCATTTTTGCAGCTTAACTCATCCAGTTAGCTTTCTTTTATCACAAAATGTCTTCCTGGAAGGTGAAAAGTGTAGCCCTGCAGCCATTGCAGTTTTCTGCTGTTGGTGCTTGTATGCTTGTTCAGCAGTTTACCACAACAGATTATTCTTTTAAAACATCTGCTACATAATTATTTTCCTTATGAGTGTAACTCATTTATCTGTTAATTTGATATTTTGAGACACTAAAAAAAAAAAGTTAAAAGGGACAAAAAAAACAACAAAATAATTTGATTGTCTACTTTGCCATTTGCCATTGCATTTGTTGCTTAATTATCGTCTCCACTATTTTGGCCACATGGTGTCCTTGTGAAGCCTAGTGCTATGTGGCAGCCCTGCATAGCTTTATGGGATATGTAGTTCTGCTGATGGCTTTTGTATGTCTTCTCATTTCCTTTTCGCTTGATATTAACAAAAAGAAAAGATACAAAATAATTTGACTCCTATTCACTTATATACTTTGCTTAATTCAAGTTTTTTTTGTAATTTTATTATAAGTAAACATGATTGTTTGCTTCTCCATGCACGCTGTTCAGCTAAAATAGCTGTACATATCGCATATGCAGAAATTTTATTTTTCTAACATAAAGAAAAATGGGTGAAGTGAATGTGTGATTTATTTATTTATTTTTTTGCCTGAAAAAACCCCAAAAATACACATAATCAAGACCTGCCAGAAATAAAACCATTTTGCATTTCTTTTTGTGGACTGAGCACGAAACCAATATATTCAGATTTTCTCGGTTTAGTTAATCTGTCACATTAACTGTTTCACACTCTATTTTAGTAATTAATGATTACAGAGTATTAAGCACTTGATACCCGGATCCAGATGACTTTGATGTAAACACAGTTTAAATTACATAAATGTATGATTGGGTAGGCTTAGTCTCTTAAAGATGGCATATATTTTAAGGAGTGTAGGTTAAATCTCCTCACCATCACTCATGTTTTAATTAGTTGTGCTTCTACAAAACAGCTGCTTGTGGCATATTGTGAAAATAGACCTTGTGCTGTTTCTCTGTTGGTGTGAAATCGGGTGAACTCTGATGCACAGTGGGGTTGCAAAAAGCCTGTGTTGTGTGTGTGTGCAAACATTTGTAAACAGTGAATCCTTGGCAATTAGCAAAAGAGCGTGAAACAGCAGTTGATTGCATTGGCCTGTTTCCTTGGTATTGGACGTTGTGCACTTTAAGTGACGTCTAATGTCAGAATATTGTGAAGGAAAACCAATATCACGACCGTTGAAATGTCATCTAAAAGCATAGGGCAGAGCTCCTCAGAGATTTGCATACACCATACCAAATGCAAATTCATGTAGCTGTAACCATTTATATAAAACATGCAGATGTGGAGAAAATGTTTGTTGTGGCGTTCCCTCCATTCTCGCCCCCATTTCCCCTACGTTTATGCTGACAGCATTTACTATACGTTTTACATCATACAGTAGGGCTCCAAGTTTAGACTAACTGAATACCCCAATAATCATCTGACTTTGATTAATCAGTAATGGATAGCTCTTCGTCTGCAATGGGAGTACAAGTCTTCTAATCAGAAAAAAAACTAACAGCAAAGGCATTGTTTACTGATGGATGAAGACGTTTACGGCAACTAGAGCACTACACATTGCTGAGCGTTAATATAGAATATTCTGTTAAACCAAACTGGATTTCCCCCCCCTCTGCTGCGTAGGAGTTCCCCAGAACATTGTATCTTTTTTTTTTCCTTCTTTTTGTTTTAAACATTGCTGCTATTTAAATTGCTAGGACTTTGCTCTGTTGAGTTAGTCAACTTAATTTTATTAACTACATTAGTTCATAATGATTAACATCTCTGCATCCACAAACCTAAGCTGCCCATCCTCCATACTAGACAGGCACATTGGTTGTTGGTCTTTGTTCCTGCAGAACAGCTGTGTCGATAGTCTCAGCTGTCACTGACAGCTGCCTGTCACCATCACCTGTGCAGCATTTCAGCTGTTGGTCTGTCTTTCTGATCTATGATAGCTCTCAAGTGAGCAATACAAGCTTCATGGGATTACCCATGGGCAGTCAACGGGTATATACCCAGCTGCTATAGAACTACAACTCGCTGGATGCTTTACTGATGACAAAGGCATTGTGGGAGTTATAGTCCTACAAAGGCTGGGTATCCACATTTTAACCCTCCCTGGATCGCAACAAAACATTTATGTGCACTCCATACTTTAGAGGTTAATGAGTACTTATATTTTTAAGTTACGCACATGGTAAATACATGTCTTTAAGTATCATGTTTGTTCAGTGTTCCCCTTTGGTGTGCCATCCTGTGACATTTGCCCCTCATCCACAAAATGCTGTTTAATCAAAGAATCCTGTCAACTTTTAGGTTAAACAAGGAGGGGTTTAGTGATCTAGTCAACTTTGTGCCCTGTGTATGTAAGCCGATAGCCTGAGCAGGTGACATAAATGTTCATTGTCCGGTATCTTGATGAAGGAACAAACAACGCTTTATTTTATTAATGACATGGTTGCATTACACAAACAGTGCACCTTGCTATGGTTACAGAGTTACTCACTGCGTACCCTGAACCGAGTCGGTTGGCTCTATGGCCTCTTAAACATTAACATGTTGCCATGGCTGCATGTATGTTCTCCTATGGCTGGATTGGCATAACATTTTCTGCATGGCTAATCAGCAAGCCGTGCACTTTAGTTTTTTTTGTGGTTTTTTTTTAATGTGGGGGGTAAAAAAAAAGTAAATGTTAATAACAAAAATGACTGGGATAATAGTGGCACAACTGCAACGTCAGGGCTTATGTATCAACATTTTCAAGTTCACTTTTTATGAAGTTTTATGTGAGCCCATTGTTTGCCCATTGTTTGCCCATTCAATTTGTTTTGTGGAGGGGAAAGGGGAGTTCATATATTTGTTGTTTCCAATGTATGAAACCAGGTGTTGCACACTTTTTCTATCCAGCAAATCTTTTTTGCCATTGGCAGATTGACATGCTTAAAATTGTTAATGTGCCTTCCCCTCCTATTATTACTACGTTATCTTATTAATTGGTGAATGTAACCAATGGTAAAATCAATAGGAATATAATGTGGTGGAAATGGTTTTTAGTTTGGCATATTACATAAAGTTGAGGTTTATTCATAAGACAAGGTATTTGCACAAAAGTGACATCGAAGGGAATGTGCTACTTTGTATAGAAAATAAAACCCTGTAATGTCTGTGTACCCTTTATTCTAAACTAAAGCTAGCTCTTGTACTACAACTCCCATGATGCATTGCCAGTAGCTCTAGTTTTACGCCAGCATGGTGATGACATTCTAGCTATTTCCATTGTAGAGTGTTTTTAGTTAAAACAGAATGCTTTGTCATAGCATTTGACCTTTTATTCTGCAAATATTGCCATCAGATATCTATGATAAGACCTGCAGGACCAAAACCACAAATTTCCTCCACCCACATGTTAAACAATTACCTTTAAATTACATCTACATTTACAAAGGGCAAACAACCTTCCGCCTACGAAAGGATGTATTGCTACATTTTTAGTTGGTACGATTGGTTGGTAGACACTAAGCTTAATGTACTGTAATGTTAAAGGAACACTATAGTCACCTAAATTACTTTAGCTAAATAAAGCAGTTTTAGTGTATAGATCATTCCCCTGCAATTTCACTGCTCAATTCACTGTCATTTAGGAGTTAAATCACTTTGTTTCTGTTTATGCAGCCCTAGCCACACCTCCCCTGGCTATGATTGACAGAGCCTGCATGAAAAAAAAAACTGGTTTCACTTTCAAACAGATGTAATTTACCTTAAATAATTGTATCTCAATCTCTAAATTGAACTTTAATCACATACAGGAGGCTCTTGCAGGGTCTAGCAAGCTATTAACATAGCAGGGGATAAGAAAATCTTAATTAAACAGAACTTGCAATAAAGAAAGCCTAAATAGGGCTCTCTTTACAGGAAGTGTTTATGGAAGGCTGTGCAAGTCACATGCAGGGAGGTGTGACTAGGGTTCATAAACAAAGGGATTTAACTCCTAAATGGCAGATGATTGAGCAGTGAGGCTGCAGGGGCATGTTCTATACACCAAAACGGCGTCATTAAGCTAAAGTTGTTCAGGTGACTATAGTGTCCCTTTAATGTTGACAATATATTTTCAGAGTTCAAATAGCAACTGTCAATTTGAATAATGAAGATAGCTGACCTGTGAATGTCCAGTCTTCTTCCATTTTTGGAGTTCTTACTTTGTCTATAGAACTCACAAGATCATATGGCTTTTACTACATCTTTGCTCTGACCAAAATCTTATCCACACTTGTAACTAACCCTTCTATATGATATTTTTAATTTCAGACACAGACGCTTTACTCAACATTTTACATATTATTTTCATTTTTATTTTTATTGATGAGAACTAGCAACCTTTTGCAGATTCACACCTTCTGGTTCTCCAAAGATTGGCATTTAAAGTTCCAGTGGTTTCTGTCACTTTTCAACCTTTAGCTAAATTGATTAAATTGCAGAGTTCGTTTATTGTATCATCATATTTTGAATTCTGTCATCCAACTTGTAAATTTTACTGTTTTTTGTTTTTGTTTTGTTTTTTTCAGAGCTCCTGAGATAATTTTGGGGTTGCCGTTTTGTGAAGCCATAGACATGTGGTCCCTGGGCTGTGTGATTGCTGAGCTTTTCCTTGGGTGGCCGCTTTACCCTGGAGCACTGGAGTACGATCAGGTATGGGTGGGAATAAGCTGCTCCCTTAGCTGTAAGGACCCTTGTAAAATTGTGGAGATTGACATTAGTGTATTTCTTGTTAGTCCAAATCTATTATCTGGATCTTAAGAGGAATGAGCAGGGATTTTAGTACCCTTCCTGTTTTTTAATTGTTCTAGTGTTCATCACTTGTCTTCTGCACAGCAGAACAGGGTTCATGCATTCATGTAGAAATAAGGAGCCAGAAAGATGGTTCTCTTCCAAATGTAGTCACAGGCAGCATAATTCCTAGTTGATGGAATAAGTATCTCCTACTGAAGGCAGGACAGAGCTCCCAGACGTTTTTGCTCCTCCTCAAAATCACCAGATGAAATGTGGCCTTATGTGGCTGAGGTTGAACAGGCATAACACACTGTAAGCCATGGCTCCCAGGATTTATGCAGCCCTACTGCTTATTAGCTCTTTCTGTGCTGCAATCCCTTCCTTTACGTGTGATGTCACCTGACACTGAATCGTATGGTATGCACACTATTTTGCATATGTATTCCTAAACAGAATCTGCTACGTATTCAAAAGGATTTCTGGTTCATAATTCTGAAAATTGAATTGATCTGCACGGACAGTTCATTGGTTTCCTTGGTGACTTCTCCACGTTTTATAATGATGACCCAGAATCGCACTTTATAAACTGTTTTAAGTGCATTGAGATTTATATAGGGCTTAGAACAGAAAACCAGAATGTAAATGGTAGAGAAGATTGTGCCAACCCACCCACATAGCGTTATATAAAAAAAAAAAGTACAAGATATGAAACGGTGTAATAAACAAGAATTAGGAAGAGCCTGTTAACCATTTCACAGCAGAAAACATACTTTTTATTTTATAATTATAATACATGTATAAACATGCTTGTCTTAAAAACTGTTGAAAGTGGTTTAATTAACCCATAAAGAACATTGAAGTTACATGTCATCAGACTGTTTTCTTATCCTCTTTAGCATGTATCTCTAAGGAGCAGAAATCTTTGTGGGAATATATTCTAAAATTGGAGTAATGCTCATGTCCTTTAATCTTGATTTGTTAAATAAAAATATAAACACATTAGTGTTGCATAAACTTTGTGAAATTTACTGTTCCAGAACATCCAATACTGCTTCTCATAGAAGTATAATTTTGTAGATCCCAACTCCACTCTCGAGATATACATATACTAGAATATTTATGTTCATCTATTAATGTTGTATAAACACGTTTAAAAAAAGGGCTGAACTGTTTGTCAAGTAGGCTGTCCAATTAAGTAATTTCACTAATTCAAGTCATGCATTTTTTTTATAATACTTCCTTGTGTGCAAATAAATAGTGTAGTGTTTCACGCTGAAGCTTTGCATATGTCAATATGTATGTATCAGTGGCATAACATTCTTTGTCAAAAAAGCAGAAGTTATATATTTTCATTATCTATATTGGAGAAACCAGCTTCCTTTATTTAGTTTTAACAGCAGCTCAAATTTAATGTGTTCCGAAACTGTATCTCACAGCTAGGCAATCTCTGGCCAATAGCTATTTTCTCATTATAACACACATTCTAGGACTTGCTGCAGGTCTGCCATCTTAAAACACCATGGCCTTTATCTCATTATTTTGAGGCCTACGTTCGGTGTATAGCTGGACTACGGACATGTACCGTCACTCAATGTGGAGGTTTTGATAGTGTAGCTAGAGCCATTGCAATAGAATAAGTGCTTCATGTGAAGTTTTATCATTCTATTTGGAGACTTCTTTTCCATGGCAGTGAGAGTTGTATCACATTTTGTAAGGCGAGGTGTGGCAAGTTTGGTTTTGATTTGGAAGCCAGACTTCAAGTCACAGCAAATTCCACTTGGCTCTCAGTATTTTTTATGTGTATTGTACATACACAACACCCACATAAAAATAAAACTTACAATAAAAAAAAAAACACTGTATGAATTGAGGGTTTATAGAGATTACCAGATGAGTCTTTGTCTTTCATCTGTGGTTCTTGATATGGGTAGAATGACCACAACTTTATTTTGTAGGCCAATAATATTTTAAAACAGTCTGCTAGTTGCCGTAATAAAACCTGTGAAATGGTTGCCCTGTGTGCAAGTCATCCTCTGTTTATCAACAATGTATGATATTTTTTTTTTTTTTTTGGTTCCAGATCCGATACATTTCCCAGACCCAAGGGTTACCTGGAGAACAATTGTTAAATGTGGGTACAAAAACCTCCAGATTTTTCTGTCGTGACCCTGATGCTCCATACCCCAGCTGGAAGCTAAAAGTAAGCTTTCAAAACTTCTCAACGAGAAAAGTGTACAGAATTTTATTGTATTATATTTTGTGTGTGTATGTATATATATATATATATATATATATATATATATATATCTATCAATGCATTTTTTTCAGGCTTCATTTATTTTACCACCATATTTGAGGGTTTCCTTAGTTTTAAGGGGGTGAAAAACCCCAGTCCGCTCATCATAAGACTTGGAGCAGTTATCGGAGTACATGTGTTGCATAGTTTCAACAAGTTTTATATGAAATGCTGTAAATGCAAAATGAGGCACGGTTTGCTTCATTTATGAAATCCTGCACACGTTAATAAACACCACATTACAACTTTAAACTGCTTTTGAGAAGTTTTATTCATATTTCAGGTTTTTTATTTATTTATTTTTTTATATAACTTTTGTTTTCTGACTTTGATCCAGCTCAGAATATCCCTGAATTTAGACATGTTCTAAGATTTTTAGTTCAACTGAATTGTTCTGAACTTCATCCATAAACTATTTGGTGCAATTTCGAGTCATGTTAAGTCTAACTATCTGAGGCTATTCAAAGGAGACCATTTGCAATTTGAGGCTACCACATTTTGAAAATGACCTCCTAATGTTTGCCTCTAAATGTCCACAAATTAAATCTTATGGATTTGGATATTTGATAGTTACCATAGAATAACTAACATGTCTGCATATTGGTTCAGGTCATCATTGCTGCATTTAGACATGTGTACTGCTTGGCATTAAAACCCTTCATATTTCTGTCACCTACAGACTTTGGAAGAACACGAAGCAGAGACAGGAATGAAATCTAAGGAAGCCAGGAAGTATATTTTTAACAGTTTGGATGATATAGTGCATGTAAGTACTGTGTGAATATTTATTGCATGATGTAAACACCGCATTCTAGCTCTATTTTAACTGACTGTAATACTGACAGTCATAAAAATGTTTTGAAAATTGAGAAAGCATGGCTTAAGACCATGGATGTCCAAGATCCACCCTTCAGCTATTTTTGGACCAAATTTTATTACTCTAAATTCTACACGCCAGACAAGGGCTAAAGGTGGGACTCCCCTTCTCTAGGCCAGTGCTTACCAGGATTTGTATGCTAATGTGGCTGTGGATTAAACTTGAACCTCAGCTTGCATGATAGCTGTGTTAATACATGTTTTTTTATTGGATTATATTAGTGTGTTTTTGTAGAGGGCCCGTAAAAAGAATTAATATACCCAGATTCATTGACAGTTGGTACTGAGCCACCATTTATTTGGGTGATGATTGGGCAAGCTTTGTTTAATGCTCAACATCCAGCGGTGTCACATTACAAGGCAACGTAGAACCAGCCATAAGTCATGTCCTTTCGTGTTGCAAATGTTGCCTTACTAGCACTGTGTCATAGATGGGATTATGGTATATTATATGAAATCATGGGTTAATGTTTGACATTACTCAGGGAAATGTGAAATTGTGAGGTGATATGACTAAGGCCTAAACATATTTCCACCGACTCTTGAATACTTCCCCATCATATACCATATACATGTGGCAGCTATGTACAACTTGTATAGATGTCAACGTATGTGTTGTAGAAACTGTTCACAGAAGCATTAAAATTATGCATCAAGAAGTATTTGTCCTGATGAACAATTCATAAATTTTAACCCATTATTTATTTTGTGTAATGTCAAACTACCTTAAACACTGATTAATACAATATATTTAAACTTCTTGTATCACAGGTGAACATGGTGATGGATCTGGATGGTAGTGACTTGGTGGCAGAGAAAGCAGATAGAAGGGAATTTGTGGGCCTGTTAAAGAAAATGTTGATGATTGATGCTGATGCGAGAATCACTCCGACTGATACCTTGAACCACTCGTTTGTTACCATGAAGCACCTTTTAGATTTCCCACACAGTAATCAGTAAGTTTCCCAGCATTTTTTGTCAAGGCACACTCTGGACCCATAAAGCACTATGTATGAAGAGTGTGTCCTCTGCCTTGCAAAGTCTTCTCATTGAGCCGCATCTGGAAGTCTGTAAATGGACAGCAACAGAAAGTCTGGGCGGAGTTAGAAGGGGAGGGCTTGTTGTAAAGGCTTTAAACAGGAGATTTGCAGGTTTTGCAGATTGTATATCAGATACACCATAAATGGAAAAATTTATAATTAAATTCATGTATGTTTTCTTTTGGAATATATTTAAGTCTGTTATTGCTATTTCTCTATTACACCAAAATGTGTAATCAGCCTTCTTATTCTGTTATTGATGTACTAATATTGGAAAATGTGGCTCCACTTGTAGTAGTGAATGCACAGTGTGTTTTTTAGAAATGTAAATACACTTTTCACTTATCACCTAGCATTATTTGCCATCAAATTTTGCATTGAGACATGTTGGCTAGTTTGCTACTATTTATATTTAAATCAAAACTTGATTTTTGACTCGGTTGCATTGTTCTTTAGGATCATTGGAAGGCTTAAGTACATGAAAAATCTATATGCTTCTAGACTTGCATTTTTGATGCCAGTGCAGAGGTTGTTTTTTTTGGTGTGTGTATTTTTAATTAAAATATATCTATACAATCTAACAAGCTTTTGCAAGCTACCCATTGCCCTGTGCAGGGCGAACTCATCGGCTGAGAGGGTCAAACGGTTTGACTTCTCACCTTGGTAAGGTACCAGCACTCCTGAAATCATAATTTCTACCGAGGGTTGTAGTGTTTATGGTATTTGGCATGTTACATTAAACATCTGCTTATCTCAAATATTTACTTTTCAGCCCATTATCTCCATTTATCAAATGCAATATTTTGCCAATGCTTTAGGTTTTTGATAACAGGAAGCTATTTTAAGAGTTGACCTTGGTCATACAACTGTTGCTGAGCTTTGTTTCCCATAATTCTCTGTTAGAGTCCAAGTTTGGCCCTGTAGCATGTTGCCTCAAACCACTGCAGCTGGAAAGGTTTAGTTGTGTCTGTGTGTCTCAAATTAACATGTTCATTCATATTGATGAGTTTAATTAGTTCAACAGTAGATGACTTGGAGACGCTTTCTATAATTATACACTTGAGCCAAAACTGACATCTGTACTTACTTCAGTGGCATATCACCTCCTGTGCTTGTCTTTACAAATTCTATATTAATCTTGTAAAACTCCTCTTTTATTCCCCCCCGCCCCCGCTTATCTTACTGTCCAAAAGTACACCAGAGTATTAAACCACATGTAGAAATACATGCAGTCACTATAGGTCTTTGCTCATTCTTCTCTTTCCAAAACTAGTTAGAGTTTCCTCCTATGGCTGGAAAGACTGAATTTTACCCTACGTTCTCTGCACCATAAACACCTCAAATATGGATTCAGGGTCTCCCAGTCTTCACACATTTAAGCCAATCACTTCCAAACCTAACTGTTTCTGACTACATTGATTGCCTTTAGACAGTTAGGGCTTATACTCCAGGCCCTTAAAATGGTAGATTGCTTTTACCATAGCAGCTATCGAGATGTTTGAGGCTTATTGCTTTTGTCTTCTTCCCTTGCAGTGTAAAATCTTGTTTCCATATAGTGGATGTTTGCAAGTCACGACCCTATTTGTGCGATGCAGCCAACCGCAATAAAACATCCATAATGAGACCGATTGTGGCAGCCAATGCAGCTAATATTTCAGCTGGCTTCACCAAAATTGGTACAGTCAGGGGTCAGGTAAGTGTTGTGAATCATGTCATTACCCAAGATTAAGTTGACGGAAGTAAATGATTTTTTTAAACATTTTATTTATATTTCTAAAGGGGTACTGTCATTTTTGTTTTATATTTGGTTTATGACACTAGTACACATTACTAAAGCCTTTACTAGGATGAAATGTTCAGCAGAAGCTAACAGCCGTCCACTTACTTGTGCAGAATAAGCAGTTTAGTGAGCTCTGTTATCATGATGATCATACGGCCAATGATTTCTAACTCACATGATCCTGCATATTGTGAATTACAGCCAGTCACGCTCTCATGCTGGGTTCCAGCTGAAAATACCGCAGACTGAAATCGTAAGCATTACTTACGCCAATCCTTAATGTTCAAAATGTCATGTGCCAAACAATTAAACCAGCCACAGAAATAGTTTCAAAGAAAAAGTGCATCCAAGCATCGTCAAACTTGAATGAAAAAAATAAAATAAAAAAAAAGCTTAATTTAATACACCCTAATCACAAACATGACATGATTCCTTTATAGAGATTTTGTTTTTCATTGACATTTCCCAGCATTATAATACAAATTTAATTACTGATGATTAAAATATTCTGCACGAGGCTTGTACAGCAGTATGGAGTTTTTTATTTCTTTTTTAAAAAGGCAAATTTGTAAGGCAGGAAGTCTGCGTTAAACCCTGCAAGACAATCTTCCTCTTTTCTGCGTGTTCTTGTATACAAAAGTTGTTGCGTTTGAGCCCTCTGGTGGTGAAATGAAAGATCTGTGTCAGAGTGAGATTAGCTGCAGTACCAATGATGGGGTTTTACTTTGAGCCCATCCTGCAGGACAACTTAATGTTACTAAAACTTGTATTAACATAATGATACACTCCTTTCTCCTCCTACTCGTGCTATAAAACACTGAAAACCCCAAACTGCTCCAGCTCTGAGAACTAGGTAACTGATTCATGGTTTTGTTTGATCTCTATGGAGTTGGTGAAGTTGCAGGTTGTTCCCCAGTGCCCTGCATTTTTCAGGCTGGTGGATATGGCTTAAAGTTTCAGCTATGCCTGCTTATAAGAAGAGTGCTAACATGCAATTTGAATACACTGCCAACTCTGGCCAGGTGTGGAACATAAGCACAGTGAAAGCATGTCCAGTTACCAAGGCATTTTTTATGGTGTAACGCACACTTGTGTGGCGAAGGTTTCCACTGCAATTCACAAATTCTAAAGCTAGGAAACCTTTTCTTTCCACGGTCATTAATTATTGTTTCATACTGTGTAAAGAATGTGATTTTTTTTTTTTTCTATATTTGACTTGATTTTATTTATTTATTTTTTATCCCCAGGCCTTACCAACATCTGGGCATTCAGTTATACACCATGCGATACCCGTGCAGGCAGGAACTGCTCCGTTTGGTTGCAATGATGCTTTCCAGCAGACACTGATCCTTTGCCCTCCAACATTGCAAGGTATTCATGTGTTCAGCGTTAATGCAGAGAATCTGTGATATGTAAAAGTTACAGTTATAAGCTATAATACAATGCCATAAGGGATTCATGAACAATCTGCAGATTCAGTGGTCCTGGCTATTATTGTTCCACATTATTGATATACTGCAGTGGGCACCAGAAACAAACTCTCTGTTTCTCTGATGTGTATTTAGTACAAATGTATTAAAGGGACACTATAGGCACCCAGACCACTTCAGCTCATTGAAGTGATCTGGGTGCACTGTCCCAGGCCCCTTAACCCTGAAATTGTAATTACTGCAATAATTACATTGCTGGGTTAACTCCACCAGACAGCCTCTAGAGACACTTCCAATAGGGAGCTATAGTGTTAGGAAAACAACCTTTTTGTTTTCCTAGCAGTATAGTTTTCCTTTAAACAATTGTTGCATTTTGTTGTATTAACATTATTTTACAATATGGGAAAAATTAGCCCACTCCACCTGAATTTACAACACTATTTTAAACAAACCACTACAAATTATTTTGCTTCTTGTTTACACAGGAATCCCACCAAATGGAAAGCCGACAAGTTACTCAGTGCGTGTGGATAATGCAATCCCTCTGGTAACGCAGGCAGCAGCCATGCCTCTGCAGATTAGACCTGGTGTCCTTTCTCAGGTAGGCTTTCTTAAAATAAATATCTGTATTTGACTCTTAAGGCTCTCATGTTTTCTTTGTAATGCTGAATGCATTATAAGCCGTGCTTGAATCTACTTTGCTGACTATATTATTCTTTCTATCCTAGCATGCGTGGTCTAATGGAACACAGCAAATATTGGTTCCTGCCTGGCAACAGGTGACAACTATGGCTCCAACAACAACACTTGCCTCTGACACAATGGCTGGAGCACAAAGAATTGGAGACTGGGGGTAAGCTATTCTCAAGGCTTACTCTATGACTGGGCAATGGTCAAGATTAACACTACTGCAGCACTATTGCAAAAACTGTGCTGGTTTTACAGCTTAAATTTTTTTTTTTTCATTGCAGTAGATCATTGAGTCATGACTGTGGGGCTGTCCCAGCTAGTGTATTAGTGAGCCGGTTTAGCTTCTTATTGTTGCACTCTATATGTCAATAAGTGATTAACTGGGGTTAGATTAGGTGTCTATTAGTCGTCTATTAGCCAAGATTGTTAAAGATGATGGTTTCACTAGGAAGGATTAGAAGACAGATGAGACACAAATATTTTTGCAATGGATACCACTCAGATGTTTATGCAAACAAAGTTAGCTGACAGCTGTACTGGCCTGACCCATCACTACTGCTCTTGCTTAAAGTGGTACTGAAAATGCTTTTTCTTTTTTAAAGGCAGAAAAGTGTTGAGTTTGTGTTGGGAAAACTGATCTAACAATACACTTGCACTGTGCTTCGTGGGAAGCTTTCTGTAGTTTCCTACTTTTGGTTCAGGACACGAGCACATACCCCGGTTTACATGACAAGGACCCTAAATTGTGCTCGTCCTGTTGAATTCATGGTTTTCTAGTGCAATAGAATAAGAACTAGATAATACCAGCTTATAACTTTCTAATTTAATACATAAAAATAAGGAGCTCTAGTCTCTCACATAACTAAAAGCTATTGTTGGGTGAGATCTAATTGAAGAAATGTTGCCATGTACATTTCCTTGTTACATATCCTCATTATAAAAAACATTTTTTTTATCTTTATAGGTGGTGAACAGTTTCTTATATAGATAATTGTGTACTTTTTAAACTGCTTTTTACTGCTTGGTGATTCTGCATGGCTCCTAATCTTGTGTTCTCTAAATTAGAATCTCAAATTCACAACATCATTTTTATCTTTTTCTTTAGGAAAGTAATTCCACATGGAAACCATTACAGCTCGATGATTCTGCAGCCTCTTTTAACCAACCAAATGACATTATCTGCCCCTCAGCCTATTAGTTTAGGCTTTGCTCATGTCGTGTGGCCACAGCCCACTGCTAACAAAAGAAATAAAGTCTGTCAAAACAGGTAAGCAAGGAGTGAATGGCCTGGTGCTGATCCCTTACTTCTCCAGCCAGGAGAGCTAAATGTATATCTTATCACTTACTCAGTGATACTGAGCTGTTAAGCTAGCTGTTACAGGGGAGTGGGATTGATGAAGTGTGATAAGGTTTGTTTAATCCATTTATTATTGAGAAAATGTGTATGTGATTGAGCTGCAATTAATAAATAATATATATATAATCATAATTCAAAACTTTTATAGTCACTGACATTTTTCTTTCCTAATGGAGTTCTAATTCCGCAGATCAACAGGAGTCTCGTGGTTAAAGTTAAATTATTTTTGCACTAGCTGTGCTGAGAATTTTCCATAAGTTGTAATGGATTTTTCACTTTTAAAATCTTAGCATTCCTCATCTGTTTTAAAAACATCATAACCACAACATCATCAACAATCATAATTCTATTTTCATCTTTGCAGAAGTAACCCAATGATAGACACAGTTGTCCCCAATCCACCAACTGCCTCTCCAAAGATATTAAACAGCTCAAAGACCAGAAAGCAGGAAGATTGCGCCTTACAGCAGGACAATCAGAACTCCTCAGAAGAGGAGGAGAACTTGTGTAAGGCTTCTGAGGGGCCGGCCCCCGACATTTCCAACCAACAGAGGCAAACAATAGTTATAGCAGATTCACCAAGTCCGGCAGTGAGTGTCATCACCATCAGCAGTGACACAGACGAAGAGGATCCAACACAGACACTTTCATTGCGAGAGTAAGTTACTTGCAATTTTCTGGTGTGGCACTGTCTACATCAATATCCACTGTGAGTCAGTGGGAATCTTGAGTCCGATTTATTCCAAACAAAAAGCGTTTCTTCTACAGCCTGTTATATTGGTTATTGGTCTAGGAAGCTGTCCCTGAAACCTTACCTTTTAATATCTTCTTGTTAATATCTGGTGCCTAAGTGCTGCTCCGTTTCACTGATGTGCTTATGCCATACAAAAGGACGACTAGATTTCTCTGTATGAAGTGAGTAGAAAGAACATGGAGTTTAGGTGTCGGAGATTATCAAGAAAATTAGTGAATTAAATGCACGTTTTCAGGGATAGCTTCCTTCACCATAATTACTGTAATTGGCTATGCTGGTCATGGTACGCGCTGTGCCTTTTTAAAAAATGTGTACTGTCACCTAAAATTTCTATATCATTCCTTATCTGAAGGGTGCTTCCGTCATGATAAACCTATAAAACAATAATAAAGTGAAAAATTTAAATCCTTTCAAAGTTTCCAGAAGAAACACCAGGCAGAGATGCTCCAATCACTTGTTCTGGTTTATGGACAGTTTTCTTACCAGGTGAACTCTTGTCTAGCAGGGATTTATCTGTAAGTAGTTTATCCACAAAGAGCAGTTCCACTTATCTTATAGTATGATTGGAACTTCTGTAAGAAATGAAAGCTGCCATACCGCAGTTTCGTGAACTGAGCTACGTGCAGCTTTCAGCAAAATCATGGTCTCTCCTTTTTCCAGTCTGTGCTTTAGGTTGTGCTTATACATAATACAATATACAGTATGTCCATTACCAAGACACATTTGTCTTTTGAATTAATCTCCTTTGGTGCAACTCAAAGGGGCAGTTTAAACAACACAACCTCAACAGCTTGTTGCAGTGGTAATGCTTTTAGTAGACTATGGACATTCTGTGCCAAAACATTTTAAGGTAATTCCACCCATGGTCTATTAGCAACATGACCACTACAACAGACTTGTAGTGGTTATTGTGCATAGACTTTAAATTTATTTTTAAAGCGAACAGTGGGTGAGAGTGAATTAACATGTCTCCTTTGTTAACAGGTGTAAGGGCAGCCTGGACTGTGAAGCTTGTCAGAGCACCCTGAATATTGATCGTGTGTGTTCCCTCAGTAGCCCTGACAGCACATTAAGCACCAGTTCTTCAGGTCAATCCAGCCCATCTCCATGCAAAAGACCAAACAGGTAACTAGTTTAAGTGGTCATGAACATCCCAAATTGTAATTCTGTGTGCTGTTACAAATAAAAGTAATCATAATTTAAAATTCTTCTATATATGAGATATTTAAAGAAGCACTGAACTGTAAGTTGCCAAGCATACAGAAATATAAAAATGGATTTATTAATACAGGAAAGCAAAAACATATTGCGCTATAGTTACTTTTTATTCTTCATATTCTGGTGTAGAGTAATATTGGAGTGACGGATGTTGCTCCATTCTGCTAAAATGCTTGCATATTGTTTTTGGAAAGGGACTTACCTCTGTGTATAGACATGCATTGTGCAGAGATTTCGGGGAAAGATTCTACTACTTGTACATTCCAAGACTATCTGTCTTCCTATCTGCAAAAACTGTGAGCTTGATATCAATGTAGAAAAATGAGAATGAGGTTATTTTTATAAAGCTCTATCAAATCTTGTCCTGTACAGTAGATACCTAAAGTAGCATCTTCTTAAAGGAATTTGAAGCCGTTTTAGTGTATAGATAATGCTGCTGCTGTCTCAATGCTCAGTTCACACAATCCCCCAGTTGTGACTGACACAGCATGCATGAAAACAAAATGCTTTAATTTTCAGTCAAGTTTGACAACACAGTGAGTTTACTTTAGCAGTACGTATCTCCTGCTCTATTTGAAGTTTACACACACAGGAGGCTCCTGCTGGGTCTAGAAGACTATTAATAGAGCAGGAGATTAGAAATTAACAATTAAACAGACGTTGGAAGTTTAACCCCATCCCACACTCGGACGTATCAGTCATGTTCAACAAAAAACGGTCCTTAAGGACCGTGGACCTACCGGATACGTCCGCAGCTAATTAGAGCGCTGGAAGCGATCATGATTGCTTCCAGCTAGTATAACTGTATTGCAGCGATGTCTCGATGTCGAGGCATCCTGCAATACCTCCACTCACTGCTGGGCCACCGGTCACCGATCAGTTCCAGGTTGCTCCACGTGGCGCCCGGCAGTGAGGCAGAGCATCGGACACCATTAGGTAGACTTCCGATGCTCTGCCTGTGCTGATTGCCTCGAGGGGTCGAGGCACTCGGTGAAGATTAAAATAAATAATAAAACATATCACAGCGATGATATTGTCAGTGAAAGTGAAGTTTTTTGCATTTTTCACACACAAACGGCACTTTCACTGAAACGTGAAACACTAATATTTGTATTTAGCAAAGTCTTCCGAGTAGAACAGTACCCCCCATGTACAGGTTTTATAGTGTTTTTGAAAGTTGCAGTGTAAAATATAAGTGTGTTCTTTCACATTGAAATTTGCCAGATTGGTTATGTTGCCTCTGAGAGCATATAGTAGCCCAGGAATGAGAATAACCCCTATGATGGTATACCATTTGCAAAAGAAGACAACCCAAGATATTGCAAATGGGATATGTATTTTTTTACTAGCCACTACTAAACACTGGCTAAAGTTAGCTGTCATAATTGTTTTTTGCATTTTTAACACACAAACAAATATAAATGCTAACTTTGGCCAGTGTTTGTGACTAAGTTGCTACTAAAAAAGACTGGACATACCCCAAATTGAATATCCTGGGTTGTCTACTTTTCAAAAATATATGGTTTGATTGGGGGTAAGTTACATTGGCTGGCTTCAAAAATGTCCCAAATAGGACATGGCTGCATGATGACCAGCTGTGAAAATTCCAAGTTGGAAAACTGGAATGCGCACCCCCCAAATAAGGTCTTTTAGCCCCCAGAGAACCTGACACACCTATACATGGGTGGTATCACTGTACTTGGGAGATGTTGCTGAACAGATATTGGGGTGTTCCCTGGCAATAACTCTTAAAGTTCTCAGTACGTGTATTCATAAATTGCTGTGTCTGTCAAAAAAATCACCAATTATTATTTTTACATTTTTTATTTGGCAAAGATTGGTGGTAAAATGGTTGCATGAAAAGAGAAAAGAGTCAAAATACCCCAAGTTTAATAGCTTAGGTTGTCTTCTTTTAAAAAATATATACATATGAAGGGTTATTCAGGGATTCCTGACAGATATCCATGTTAGAATGTAACTTTTGTTAATTTTGAAAAAAAAAAAAATGGTTTGGCAATAGCTAGTTGTACTTATTGCCCTATAATTTGCAAACAAAAAGCTAAGAACATGTTAACATTGGGTATTTCTAAACTCCGGACAAAATTTTGAAACTATTTAGCATGGTTGTTTTTTGGCGGTTGTAGATGCGTAGCAAATTTGGAGGTCAAAGTTCATTAAAGGACAACTATAGCCACCCCGACCACTTCAGCTCAGTGAAGTGGTCTTGGTGCCAGGTGCCTCTAGGGTTAACCCTGCAGCTGTAAACATAGCAGTTTCAGAGAAACTGCTATGTTTACACTAATGTTAATCCAGCCTCTAGTGGCTGTCTCACTGACAGCCGCAAGAGGCACTTCTGCGCTTCTCACTGTAAAAATCACAGTGAAGCCCCTGACGTCCATAGGAAGGCATTGAGAAATGCTTTCCTATGGACTGATTGAATGCTCCCGGCACTGGAGAAAGGTAAGCGTTTAACCCCTTCAGCCTGGAGAGAGTGGGACCCTGAGGGTGGGGGGGACCTAATGACCCTATAGTGACAGGAAAACGAGTTTGTTTTCCTGGCACTATAGTGGTCCTTTGTGTGTGTTTTTTTTTGTTTGTTTGTTTTGTTTTTCTTTCTTTCATTATTTCATCATATTTTATAAAAGATTTTTTTATAGTAAATTATATATGATATGATGAAAGTAATGGTATCTTTACAAAGATCATTTAATGGTGAGAAAAACTGTATATAATATGTGTTACAGTAAATGAGTAAGAAGAAAATTACAGCTAAACACAAACACCGCAGAAATGTAAAAACAGCCATTGTCCCAAATTGAAAAGCGGCCTGCTCACTAAGGGGTTAAACATCTCTGCACAGGAAATGTGTAACCAGACTGTGACTAGGGCTGCATAAATAAAGTGATTTAACTCCTAAATGGCAGAGAATTGAGCAGTTAAACTGCAGGGGCATGTTCTATAAAACAAAACTGATTCATTAAGCTAAATCTCTCTAGGTGCCTATAGTGTCCCTTTACATCTTGCAGGCATTGTTGTAGACATTGGCAAAAGCTGACTACTTATTATTTCCCATATTCTTTGTAGAATAAAAATGTATTTCATATTGACATAAATGTAGTTGACTATTTATATGCAATCATTGGGAATTAAACCGCACACAAGCCTGCTGAATTGTCCACGTGATTTTGCTAGTGGGGCCTTCAGGATTGAGTTTAAAGGTTTGCACTGTATTTGATGTGATGTATTTATTTTGATTGGAAGTAGTCATAGTCTGTAAAGCAGTATATCTCAATTGTCTTATAGGTTTTACAGTCACTTTTTTTTGTAAGTTGTGCAGCTTTTTCAGATGCTGGCTGACATTGCTTTTTTTCCTTCTCACTTTTGCAGCATGTCAGATGATGAGCCAGAGAGTGGCTGCGACACTGTGGATGGATCTCCAAGTTCCGATTCTTCGGGGCATGACAGCCCGTTTGTAGAGAGCAGTTTTGTCAGGGATCCTAATCAAAACACTGAGACTCGGACTTCAGAGAAAGCTGAGAGCAAACCTGCAGTGTGCACGGTTGTGGTTCCACCCATCAGGATAGAAAACCGCCGTGTCAATTCACATCGGGTGTCAAACAAAGGTCAGATATGACGTTTTATCTTGCTATGTAGGAATCAGTGAAACTGCTTTCATTTGTTTGGTGATGAACACATAAGCCCCATGGACTTGTTACTTAAATGTGGCTGATATTGGGATTTATTCACTAAACAGCAGATAGTGATTACATAATAGAAATATCTCCATTTTAACTATTTCCAATTGCAGTTTTAGGAAAGTTTTTGGACTACCTTTTGTAACGATCACTGGTGTAACAGCTACCCCTTTGTCTATTTCCTCCCAAACTGCCTGAGCCTGAGTGATTATAGCTCGCAGTTCGGGTGCTGAGTCGAACGATTCTCCACACGAATGAGTCTCCCAAGTATATTCTCCCAGTAAAGTAGACAGGTACCCAAACATCATCCGAAACTAGATGAAGGGTGTAACAGGAATTATTTTAATGGGTGCCGCACTGGCTTTTATGCAAGTCCACATGCAAGGGGCACTCACACATGGACTTTGTGGGGGACAGGGACACAAAGGTTACAGCCAATAATAATACAGTGACAAAGTATGACACTCCCAATACAAACAGATAATTCCCTCCTCTCTGCCTAGAGATAATTGAGCCAGATAATGTAATAACTCAATTATCTCCAGGCAGAAAAAAAAAATTTTTTCACAAAACTTGAAAAGCACCCCAAGACCCATAAAATCCACACAAATGTTATATCTCCTGATAGCCCTGATCTGGGTGACCAACGGGGTTTTGGAATTTTATGAAAGTCCAATTTTGACTAACCGCACACGAGGCTCCTGCACAGAAACAGTTCCATGAGTTTAGGCTGTGCGGTCGGTCTATTTCGACAAGTCTTAAAAACTAATAAATGCACGAACTGCACCCCCTGGCTCATAGTAGCGCTTGTTCCCCTGGTTCGTGGGGAGCAAAACTGCCGAACAGCGCTCTCCTGGCTGTTTGACCGGTATTCGAGAAGTTGAGTGTCCGATATTCGTTCCAGACACTCGACGACCAAGTCCCGCTGCCTCCTTTCGTGCGAACAAGATGGCCGCAGTTTTCTCCTGCATGTGTCGTTTGACTATACGAACGGTGACCACACAGGGAGAGCACTTAATTGACTATTCTCTTTGAAGATAAAGAGCCAGGGGGATGGTCGGTGTTTCGGTAGTTACAGCTACCGAATGCAAAAAAAGTCAACCGAAATAACTGTCATTTCCTCACACAGTTCATAACTCACCGATTTAATATTTAGTCCATATACCCGTAATCATTGAGCATGTTTAAAGATTATGTTGTTTGTTTGTTTTTGTAGTAGTAGTAGTAGTAATTTGTGTACTTTATTTGTTTTTGAAAACAAACATGCACAATGTTGTAGAAGTCACATGTGGCAGGCTCTTACCACTCCCAACAGATAGGCTGGTGAGAAGTGACTGCTTACCTCATTATGCCCTAAGATAGCAGCCTGTATGAACTCTTTGATGCTGTGGACCGGTTGGGTAGTTTAGATGACTGCATTTTTTCCTCTTGTGTGATTTGGGTTTTACTAGAGCAGACAGGCTGCCAGTCATTAACCACCATATGTTCTTATTTATTTGGCAACACTGAACCGATTGAGACTCTTAAAATAATGGCTTGTGACCGCCAAAAAAAGTTGTGTTCCCTGTATATATTGAAAACATGTGGGAGAAGTAAAACATGTGACAAGGTGGCTAAAAGGGAAATGGAGGGAATTTGTAAGGGATTTAGGGGTTAATGTTATATATGGTAATAAGAGACAGCCTGGCTAGGGTTGCATGATGAGGGAGGAAATATGGCTGAGAATATAACATGCTGGTTAATCTATTGAAAAAGAGGCATAATTGCCCTTTTGTGTATTAGAATGTTTAATCTTAATTTTGTAGATACGCCATGCTGATCGATGGTGAACCACTAGCTTATATTGTAAATATTACCATTCGCTATATTACATTCATGGATGTCACACTGGAAGATTTGAAGTGTGATGTTTTTTTGATTAAATGTTTGTTGTCAAATCCTGGAAGCTGATTGACATGAAGCTTCTGTTTTCCAGATCCTGTTTGTCATCCTTTAATAAAAGGTCGCTCTGCCCCAGGGAGAATCAACCATTCTACTGGCCAGGGGAACCGTCAGCAGAAACGCACATCAGCATTCCAGCAGCAGCAGCCTCTTCATTTCAGCCAGGTACTAGCCATTTTGTTGCATATGATTCCAACTCATAAATATTTAGGAAATTAAATGTTTGCTCTGACCTCAATAACAACTTAACATCATTGCAATGGGTCAGAGAGTGCCTTACTCCCTTGTCTCCATGCCTAATGATTGAGATGATATGTAAAAACCAGTGATATTATATGACTGTTCCCTGGAGCAATGACTTCCTCTCTTACATTGCAACTACCATTCAAATTGTTAGTGCACACGCAAACAAGACAGACTCTGCAAAGTATCCAAGCCATGGCAACTTGAATCCACTGTCCGTTGCTCAAGAGATCTCTATTTGTAGCCTGGCTCACAAAACTGTAACCAAGCTGTGAATGAACCAATATCTGCCTATTCACCATTTCCCATACTCTATATTGTGAATTAAACTATAGACAGGTGTTAAAGTATCAGAATGAATGAGCTAATCAAGCAAATACTGAATTATAAAGAACTGAGCAATGGAAGTCAGTGCTGATCCTTTAACAATATCTGATATATTTTCTATTATTAAAAAATGATCTCTGTGATTTATTTGTATATTTAAGTGGCTTAATATTTGTCCCTTAATATAGATCTGCATTATACATTCTGTATTGTGAGTGAACTAAACTGTGTTTTTTGACAGATACAGCACTTTGGATCTGGCCACCAGGAATGGAATGGAAATTATGGGCACAGGAGGCAGCAGCCATACTTGACACCCACTGTTGCCAGTCATCCTTTCACCCTTCCTCATGGAAGTCCAAATCATAGTGCAGTCCATGCACATCTGGCTGGAAGCGCACACCTCGGAGGACAGCCTGCCATTCTCTCATACCCACCATCAGCACAGCTGACCACTGCTGGTCCCGTAGCCCACCTTCTTGCCTCTCCTTGTACCTCAAGGCCTATTTTACAGCATCCGACCTACAATCTGTCTCATCACAGTGGCATTGTTCACCAGGTTGCAGTTGGCATAAATCCTCGTCTCTTACCTTCCCCTACCATGCATCAGACTCAGTACAAGCCAATTTTCACCTCCCACTCATACATTGCAGCATCTCCTGCTTACACCGGATTTCCAATGAGTCCGACAAAACTCAACCAGTATACATTCATGTGAGAACCGGAGGTCGCGTAGTGGAAGCTCAAAGATTCAAACACATAGTTTGGAGAAGAAGAAGAAGAAAAAAACTATTTTAAGAGAACATGGCTTTTAATAAGTATTTGCCATGGCACAGGAAAAAATCAAATATTTTTTTGAATCATGTAGACTTGGGTGCAATTTAATCAATCTTGAGCTTTAAAAGAAAAAAAAAATCACTTTTAATGTGTTTTGCACATTTGGTATAAATTGTCTTTCGTCCTGTTTTCTTCTTCTATAGTAACTCTAGACAGGTGACTTACAGGAGCAGAATTCCAATCAATCTCCTGCTATTTTTTATACAATTGCCTTCTAACTTTAGTGCAAGACACGTCTACATTTGGGAAGCCATTCAGTGTACAGGTTTAGAGCAACAAATGCACACAATGTCAGCAGTACAGTGTATCAGTAATGCGTTTGTATTCTTATGTCTCGATGTGTCAGTGTTGGATCACTTAGCTATGAAGATGTTCTTCACATTGCATGTGTCTTTTGCATGGGCAGAAGAAAAAAAAAACGTTGCCTAGACCGCGCTCTTCAATGTTGTCGTCCTAATAATCTCAGCTGCATTGTAAACTGTTCCCACACATAGTGCCTTAACTATTTGAGGTTGTTAATGTTACTACTTAATATATTAATGTCGAGTTCAGCACTTAATCTTCAGATCTGCTGATTATATAAATATCTATTTTGGATAACTTGAGTAATGCTCAGTTAGATTTTTATTTTTTTTCGTGTGGTATGATTTAATATTTTTGGTTTGGTTCCGGGTGTTACCAATAGAACAGCATGTTTTTGCTGTAGAGTAAACTTACTGTCTGTTTTTTAAAGAATGAACTAGTTCTAGCAAGCGTTGAATAGCCTTGATGCGCTTTGGTTTTATTTTAATTTTTTGTTGTTGTAGCACAGGAACAATGCTGGCTGCACGTTCAGTAATCTTACGGTGACCAGAAATGCAATATAGTCCAAATGTGGATTTTTTTTTTTTTTTTTTCCTATTTCTTTTTGGTGTGTGTTTGTCTCATTGGATGGATCATTATATCTACTAGAGTAGGTGGCATGATTTTGGTTAGGTTATGGGAGACGACCTTTGAACTCATGTTTTGACAGATACGTCCACATGTTGCTGTGCAATGTTTTGCAGACCGTTCCAGCACTGTCGAGGTTAACATAACTGCAGCTCGGGCAAACCATGCAGTATTTGATGAATTGCATCAGATATTTACTCTAAAAGCTTGACAAGATGTGAGGTTTTATTTTCTCTGTGTGCAATTTTCTTTTTCATTTTATGCATGTGTCAGTTTTTAAAGCCTCCTTACATTATATTTTGTGTTTTTACTTTGTGGGGTGGTGACTGCTTATTTAATACATTCCGTCAGGGACATGAAAATTATGTGCATATTTCAATTATTTTTTTTTTCCTTCAATTTGTAGATTGTGTATCATCTATACCAAGTTGCTTTTAGCAGCACCAAAGACTTTGAAATTATCCATTTCTAGTAATGAAATTCAAAGGTAGCTACTTATTGCATAGACCTAATTTATACTGTAGTATAGTGGTAGGCTTTAAGGAGAGGGAAAAAAAAAGGTATTAATTCTTTGGGTGCTGGCTTGAGGGTTACGCAATGCCTCGTACCTCCCTCTGTCACACAGAGTGTTTAAAACTAATGTGGTTGTAGCTTTGGGCAAGTAATAAACCTATCATTTATCTTGAATGTATCATAGATAAGCTGCTATATATAACGGACGCCACTTTGGATAGCTGTGAAGTTAGCTTCATATCTAGATTTTTCATAGCCGTCTTACTTCTGTTTTAAGTCTAATTATATGAACGTTTAGTGTTTTTTTTCTGATTTTATTTTTTATTTTACTTTTACTGTTTGGCGTGTCATTGTAACTGCTGTATTGTAAATTATGGATTCTAATTGCATATATTATTTTCTGGGTGTGTGTTCCTTGCATCAGTATTTTATCTCCATAAATTTTGAGCTCCTTACTGCATATAAGTGTATTAATGTAAGTTAATTTTTTTAAATGTTTTTCATATTCTTGTTGTGTAAACCTTTAAAGGAACTGCAGGCTTGATTTTTATGTTAAATTGTATTCTTCTAATCTGGAATAAGCAATGTTGGAAATTACATTTCAGTTTGAGTTCCAGCTTTTACTTCCTGTGACCCACTAAAGGAAAACTTTGCCCTCACAAAAATAAGTTCATTCTACTTGCACTGCGTTATTAAAAGGTTTAATATGTCGTCTGCTTTGATTTGCACAGTTGCAAACTTTTGTTAAATTGTTAAATGAAGTTAGACGGGGTTGGCCATTTTGCTTCATCGCATACAGCTAAACTAGTTTTTGTGATGGCATCCCAAGCCTAGACAAACCAAATATTTTTTGTGATAACATAATTTGTAAAATACTTTATATTTACTAGTCTTTATCTGACAAGAGCAGTGACTACAAGCCACTTATTTTTGGGGTATAATTTTCCTTTAACACCACTATACACAGCACTTGCCTAGCTGTCAATACTCTGTCATTGTTTCACTACTCTGGGGCGGGCTGGAAGCTGAATGCTCAAGCACCATTTGATGTTAACACAAGCAGTGTTTTATTTAATGAATGTTTAAACTAATATGTGCCTATATCAAATTTTATACAAATAGATAAAAATGTAAGAAAAATACAGTATTATATGTTGAAATATAAAAAACAAACCAGTGAAACATTTTTTGATTGATCACTGGGAATCCGTTTTTCTGCAAAAGTAAATGTTTTACTAATCCTCACTATGCATTACGTACAGCGTTGTCTGGTCCCGTGAGTATGGGGATAACAAAAAAAGAAAGATGTTGAACTTTGTGTTGTAATATTTTGCTGTCCAGATATTGCAAGCAGTGTTGCCAATTTGATACTGTGTCAACATGCTATTTTGTAACTTGCCCTAAGTACAGTCTGCTTTAAGATTGCATCAGACTCTTTTAGAACATCACAGCTACTGCGTTACTTTGAATGCTAGAAGACTCCTTATAGGCAGATTTGCATTCGTATTATCAGTGCTGTAAGTATTCTTAGAAAAAATGCTATCGCACCCAGTAAGCTAACTGGAGTTGTCTGCTTGTGATGCTCAACAGTACATGTGGTAAATTCTCCAGTGGCTACATGTAGTATTCGGTATATTGATTGTTGAGGTATGAGTGGTAAAATATCCATTGACTTCTGTTTGCAACGCGGTATATTGATCCCCGGGGCTGTGTGCTTGTTACGCTCCAGTCCCTTTCCAAAGAGGAGCCAGTTTCTTGTTCCATTTGATTAGATTTTGGTGCTGAATAGAAATATTGGTTAGGTTTTACCCATGGATTTTATGGCTTTCTTTCCAAGACCAGATCCACACAAGGCAGGATGCCCTATTTACAGCCTGCTTTAAAGCAACACAAACATATATTCCTGACACTGCAGTGTTAAAATAACTATTTAGGTGTTGCCATCTCCCATCCCCCAACCCCTCCCTCTCCTTTGTGGTGTTTAAACTCACCTTTTTCCCTCTGCCTTTAAGGCTGAGATCATCAAACTTGATGATCTAGGCCAATTCTATGCCATCCTATGGGAAAGCATTGGGAGGCTACTGCACACGCACGGCAAAATTACACACTGTGCCAATCTGCATCTTCTCATAGAGATGCATTGAATTAATGCATCTCTGTGGGGCATGTTCAGCACCTCCATGGAGTGTGCTGAAAAGGCTGTGTTTACATTGAAAAGCCTGCAGGGATAGGCTAAAGACACCAGAACAACTACATTAAGCTGTAGTGGTTTTTGTGACTATAGTGTCCCTTTAAGATTGCATCCCACTGGAGAAACATTTGGACTGGCGGAGGTCATCGAGACAGATGATCTCTGCCAGGGAGGCAGAGCAGCAGCACGGAGACCAGAGTGCAGAGGGAGATAAGATAAGTAAATCTTACCTTGGGGGACACGGCTACATTGGGGATACCTACATAGGTAGGAAAACACTCTAGCATTGGGAATAAATAATTGTATTACTAATGCTAGAGCATTCTTTTAAAGATAGAAAAAGACATGTGTGGTACTGCATGTGCAGTATGGATTGTTATTATTTAACCGCAATCTCCAATATATTAAAATATATGAATAAATTAATTACAAACTCATTAAGATTGGTTAAATTTTATTTTCTCACTGATCTATTTTTGTAACTATGAATATTTTGATTGCTTTAACACAATCAAGCCTATATACACTCACATTAACTCTTTTGAGCAGATTGCAAAATGCATCCTACAAATATATATATATACACCATGAAGCAGCCTAAAGCCCTCCTGTATGGTAATATGAAGAATAATTCAACTCTATAAAATAGTAGAACAATGGAGGAAAATAAATAGAACTATAAAATAAAATTCCCCCTTTTAAAGCTTTTATCTCTAAGTATTTGCAGGATTTCTGCATAGCTGGGTTTACCAGAAATATACTCACCTCAAGTCAGTCTCAAATATCCCAAAACATGTTTTGCCCACTATATGCTTCAGACGATTTTGTATGCAGTTTCTTGCAGCAGATTACCTAAATAACACAGCATTTATAGAAGGCTTGTATGTATAATTCCCATTCCATGATCTGTAAAATATAATCACTTCCTTCACTCTTTGTTACAAACTCCCAACACCTTATATAACACTGGCTCTGGAAGCACAAAAATGTAATATGCTAATGCACAAAATCCAAAGCACAATTTAGAATATGCCACATAGTATAAAAAACAAAAAGACTTGGTATCGATCACTATGCTTGTATAAACATTTCAAAAAAATCTGTAGGGGCCGATTCATCTAAATTACTTAAAGGACCACTATAGTGCCAGGAAAACATACTCCCGCCGGCTCTGGGGAGAGGAAAAGGTTAAAACTTAACTTTTTTCCAGCGCCGGGCGGGGAGCTCTCCTCCTCCTCTCTGCCTCCGATCCTCCCTTCCGGCTGAATGCGCACGAGCGGCAAGAGCTGCGTGCGCATTCAGCCGGTCTCATAGGAAAGCATTTACAATGCTTTCCTATGGACGCTTGCGTGTTTTCACTGTGATTTTCATTGGAGGCTGCATTAACCCTATTATAAACATAGTTTCTGAAACTGCTATGTTTATAAAAAAAAAAGGTAAATCCTAGAGGGACCTGGCACCCAGACCACTTCATTAAGCTGAAGTGGTCTGGGTGCCTAGAGTGGTCCTTTAAAATCTCAGCATTGGTATATGCAAACAAGAACAAAAAAAACTCATGCATATTAGTAACGCAGTAGGACTCAAAATTAAAGACCAAAAAGTGTGTATGATTAAGCCAAACATTTGCTTAACACCAGTTTCAGAAACAACCGCCCCCCACTCACCCATTTAATATCGTAAATACCGTACCACCATCAGAGTTGGGTGTGTTCTAGTTTTGTGTATCACAGTCGTCGTCCCCTCCCCAGGTCAACACACACCTGGTGCAGCCTGCTTTAAGCATGCATTAGACTATGTAAGAACATCCGAGCTGCTGCATTACTTTGAATGCGATAAGACACATAAAGGCAGATTTATGTTTGTATTATTAGTGCTGTTTTTTTAAACTGAACCCATTTCTACGTTTTTGGAACTAAACCGAGTCCTTTGTCCACCATCTGTTTTTTTATTCTTTTATTTAGCAACAGAGGATCAATGGAAATACTAAACTTCTACAACCATTGAAATACTCGAGATTGACCGATCTCTGCACAAAAGCAAACATTTGCAAAAACAAAAAAAATTGCTAAATGCTTTAGCAATATTTGCTGATTTGAGTTAACCTGTGTTGAAATCAGAGTATGTGCTTTTACTGTATGTTTCCTGTTCTAATAATAAAAAACAAAACAAAGAATTGGCCCAGTGAGATTGAGAGGGTATCATCTTTGTTTAGCAATTTTGCATTGCATTGTAGCATTCACAGTTCTGTAGTTTAAGGGGTCGAACATTTTTTTTTTTTTTTTTTTCTATTTTACATTTTAACTGTTTTTAGCAAACCAGAACCCCGGCATTTATCTACTTTCAGTAATGAGGAAAGTCTTTATTGTGACTTTAAATGAAACACAAAGCTTAGTATTACGGGTGCTGCCTGGTTAGAGCCAGTGTTTAGGCTGCGTTCTATAATTCCAGCTTGAGGGCATGCCTAGCAGTCTAGTATTAGTATATTCGGAATCTACAACTGCTAACAAATAGCAGGTGTTGGTTTTCATTGGAAATTTGAGATGGTCACAAAAATGTCTACTGCAGAAAGTAATTTTTATTATTTTTCTCTTCACAAGAATCTTTTGGGGAACTACAAACTAACTTATAAGACAGGATAAGAGGGCACACATTTGGTTTTTGATTGCATGTAAGAGAGACATGTTCTGTGTAATATAACCCTGTTGGATAACAGGAAGCATAATGAAATCTCCATCTTTTTCTTTGCTACATGATGACAATTGTACTTCATAAAACAAAAATAAATCATGATCTTTAACCCATCGCAAGAATCTGGCACCATTTTGCACTGCTGTACGGGTATGCGCATACAGAGCTTGATGGCATCAGGGTCACCAAGTTGTCTTCAAAAGCTCTTTTTAGTTTGTAAGCTCACCAGACCAGGGGACAAACCACCTGTTCTATATGTCAAAAGTGCCCTATTGCAGTTACCGGTTTGTTTCACTTAGCCATTGTACTGCGCTGCTGAATATGTTGGCTCTTTATATTAAATAATGGACTTTTAGGGAAGCGACAGCACTCCCGTAGTAGATAGTAAGAGGACCTGGCTTGGCTCCAAGCTTACCCACTTACTTGCTATTGCAGGATTTCTGCAGACAACGTGGATTTCCAGGTCCTTGCTGCAACCCAGGGGAGTTCAAATGGGAACATATTTATTATTAATTTATTTTTTTTACATTATGTATTAAGCGTGGCGTGTCCCTTTAAGAACACACAAAGATGCGCCTTTTGGGAGCACTTGTTTTATAAATTTGTTTAACCACCAGTGGCCTAATTCATTCTGCTGTTACTGTCATTACATTTTCAATTGAGGTATTTGAGGCACAGTGAGGACTAAGTTGGTATTTTCTAAACTAATGATTTCAGAGAACACTGCAAGCAACGTACTATCTTGGTTGTGCAGCCAGGAATGTTTTGAAGCTTTCCTATAGTAAAATATCAAACTGTTATAGCACAGTTTGAGAATGTACTTGGTTCTTGCTGGGTCCGCTCACACTGCACCACCAATCCATCAGGAGAATTCGGATTGCTCAATAGAGCAAGACAAGACCATTCAAGATTGCGCTCACTGTATGAAAACATTAACTTTGTGCACTCAGCCAATGAGCACGGTCTTGCATGAGTTGTGCTTTACTCTACAGAACTATCCGCCTCTCCTGCTTGAGTAGACCAGATATAGCTGGTAAGATGTAGGTTCTCAGCGGGACCCATGTATGTTAATTGCCAATATGGTTTGACATATTGCTGTGGCGTGGCATGAGTGCTCACACTGACTTAGTGTTCCCTTGAGGAATTTTGTCATGGACATACCTCAAATCCAGTTTCAGTACTGGGGTCACAGGCCTGTCTGTCATTCTTGTGCCTCACCCAGTATTCTCTTTGGTCTATCTATAAAGTATCCATTTCTGGACATATCTGGAGAAGCTAGCAAATACACAGGATTTCCTTCTGGATGGTAACACTTCCAGCTTTAAATCTATACATTTGCTAGTCCTCCATCTTGTTCAATGTATAAAAGAAATGATTTGCAGTTTTATAGTAGACTCTCACTGCATCCATAGTATCTTTAATCTAAATAAGCCTCTTACTGTCTGTTAAATCTTGGTAGAAGTTGGCACCATTTTATTATTTTTAAAAGGGGTAGACCAACTTTTTCAATGGTCTGATTTGCACTGATTTGGAATAAGGATGAGACAGACTCGGCTGATCCTTTCTTTTCCCCTTGTGATTATCGTCATTTATATTGCGCCAACAGATTCCGTAGCGCTTTGTAGCATCTGTAATGGTGAATCTGCCCAGTAAAACATAGAGGGTCGCAAAAAACACTATTTGAGTTACCGCTGTACTTTGTCATTTTTATACTCACTTTAGCGATCTCGTCTCAGAATGTGTTAAGTGTGAGGTCAGTGTCATTATAAATTAAAAGAGATAGCAGCCAAAATAAACCTGTAGCCTCACCCCATCCCAAATACATTTTGGTTGTTTTTTTAAAGTCCAGGCCCTCAATATGCCCCTTTGACAGCAATGACCCATGTACACAGTGTTGCTACCAGTCCTTATTGACTCTCCATTCATATTTTTTTCAATATTCCAATATTTTAGCATATATGAGTAATCGATAAATTATGAAATGCTGGTAGAATCGGAGGACTGAGTGACCATTTGTCACCTGGTCCAAATCGCTTTTATAATATAGGCTGATAGATGCCATGATAACTGGGCCTGTTTGTATACGTTTGATTTTTTTTTGTCTTACTGTAAATTAAACTGCGTATCCCATCACGCTACATCTCCAAACTTTATAATCACATACTGAATATAGCATTTGTTTGGCATGTATCTATATGCTGCGTTGCATTTCTCTACTAGTAAGCAAGCCATATACTTACATTCGTATACCAGTGAACATCTTAATAGTATGAAATACATTTTTGCGATAGAAGTGTGTAATGTAGTTATTGAATAAAACCAGGTTATCTCAGCTCTGTTTTGATTGGTATGCAGGAAGGAGAAGCTAGTTGTTATGCTTGTCGAACAAGAGTTTTCAAAACTACATCTCCCATGATGCTCAACCAACTCGATGGTGATTGATCATTATGGTAAATGGAGTTCTAAAACCTCTGTTTTTAAGACTAGCCACCCCTCCAGTATGCGATTTCATCCATGGGCTCTATTAGCCCTTACTTCTATTTTGTTTTTAAATAAAACACTGCATGCCTGCACAAATAGCCACATCTGCTAAATTCCTATATGTTTTTCCTTATTTTCTGCAATCATTGTATTTTAACTCTTTCAGGCTGTTAAGTATGCTACTGTAAAAACTGATTTGAACCGGGGGTTTGTAATAAACTACTTTTTTGCGAATTGTGATTTGGGCTTGCACCAAAGTAAAAGTGAACTCATACTGCAAGTTTTGTAGGACTGTTTGTTTAGAAATCCAGCTTTTGTTTAATTTGAATTGTTACTGTTTTTAACAAATTGTAGATTTGTGGCTTTCATTTATGTTTTATTAATTTGTTTTAAAAATACTTTTTTTTGGATTTTGGCTTTTGATTTTTATGCTACACTAGTTTTGCCATGTAGCAATTGCACTGTGCAATATTCTAATACGAGGACTGGGAAACATTTTTATGGTTGTATGTCTTGTTACATTTTGCGATAGTATTTCTCTCTAGTTCTCAGTGATTTTAAATGTGACCAAGGCTTCTGTACTTTGTCACAAAAAGCGGGTTTTCCAGGTAACTATTTTGGTGAGTGTCAAAAATATGAATTTATGGTGTATTATTGTCTAAATTCACTTTGAATTAAAATATATATTGCAGCATATCCTGTCTCGTGTTCACTTATTTATTGGAATTCACTATTATTTTGTTACAGTAATGAATATCATTACTTAAAGGGACACTGTAGTCACCAAAACAACTTTAGCTTAAAGGACCACTATAGTGCCCTGAGGGTACCCCCACCCTCAGGGTCCCCCTCCCGCTGGGCTGGATGGAGAGGAAGGGATTAAAACTTACCTTTTTTCCAGCGCTGGGCGGGGAGCTCTCCTTCTCCTCTTCGGCTGAATTTGCATGCGCGGCAGGAGCTGCGCGCGCATTCAGCCAGTCTCATAGGAAAGCATTTACGATGCTTTCCTGTGGAAGCTGGCGTCTTCTCACTGTGTTTTTCAATGAGACAGCCACTAGAGGCTTTAGAGGCTGGATTAACCCATTTATAAACATAGCAGTTTCCGAGTGACAGCAACCGACTAGAGACATTTAACCTATTGAGGACGGAGAGAATCGTACACATTCTGATCAAAACAAAACCTGGGATTTGACTCTGTCTATCATAATTTACCTCTTTCATATTAAGTGTATCCCATATAATTTTGTTCTGGAGAAACACTGCTTTCATTTAACATCTCTGAAACTGCTATGTTTATAGAAGAAAGGGTTAATCCTAGAGGGACCTGGCACCCAGACCACTTCATTAAGCTGAAGTGGTCTGGGTACCTAGAGTGGTCCTTTAATTAAGCAGTTTGGGTGTATAAATCATTCCCAATGCAGTTTCACTGCTCAATTCTCTGACATTTAGAAGTTAAATCACTTTTTTTTTGTTTACATGCAGCCCTAGTTACACGTCCCCTGACTGTGACTGGCACAGCCTGCATGAAAACAAAATGGTTTCATTTTCAATCAGATGTAACTTATTTTATTAGTTTTTAACTCCTGCTCTGTAAATTGAACTTTAATTACATACAGGAGGAACCTGCAGGGTCTAACAAGCTATTGGAAGAACAGAAGATAAATTCTACATTAAACATAATATGCAACAAAGGAAGTGTAAACATTAGATGCTTCTTTACAGGAAGTGTTTAGGAAGGCTGTGTAAGTCACATGCAGGGAGGTGGGCATATGGCTGCTTAACCCCTTAAGGACACATGACGTGTGACATGTCATGATTCCCTTTTATTCCAGAAGTTTGGTCCTTAAGGGGTTAAAGTGATTTAACTCCTAAATGGCGGAGAATTGAGGGGCACGATATATACACCAAAACAGCTTCATTAAGCTAAAGTTGTTTTGGTGATTATAGTGTCCCGTTAAGGGAGAATGATATAGTAAACATTTTTCTCACACAGAACATTTTGAATGTTTGAGCATTTGTAAAATGCTTCCCCCCCCGGACTGATTGTGGCATTTCTGTACTGTGCATTAATTGCAACTTATTTGAAGCATAAAATATATCACGTTCTAATATTTTTCTGACTGTTGCAATTAAAGTAAATTCTCTAAAATATGCTTTGATTAGTCCTGAAGCAATCTTTGGCTCAATTATTCTTACCGTGAAGCTGTTATACACTCACACACAGAGATTTGGGCCCAAAATTGGGACTGTCCTTCCTAAATAAGGACACTTTGGAGGTATGATAATGTGTCTTTAAACTACAATATTGGATATCAGTCTGTGTAAATAAGATGCTTTGTTTTTGCTCTAAATTACATTTTAGGAAGCACCTCTGTCTATCCGAGTGACAGCGACCGACTAGAGACATTTAACCTATTGAGGACGGAGAGAATCGTACACATTCTGATCAAAACAAAACCTGGGATTTGACAATGTCTGTTCTATCATAATTTACCTCTTTCATATTAAGTGTTCCCCATATCATTTTGTTCTGGAGAAACACTGCTTTCATTTAACTTCAAATATGTATATATGAAACAATTAAAGATTAATAACATCTTAAAAAAAAAAAAGTGTGAGATTTTTTTAAAATTTATTTCTGCGTGGCATTTAAACAGTGAATGTCATAATACTGTTAATTTTTACTGCAATAAAATACACATTTGTATTCAGCGATGCCTCACGAGTGCAATAGTACCTCTACTGACCAGGTTTTAAGGAGTTTTGCAAAGTTACAGGGTCAAATACATTACGTTCCCCTTTTTCAGTTCGTACATAGAAATTTGCCAGATTCGTTATGTTGCCTTCGAGACCATATGGTAGCCCATTTATGAGAATTAACTCCATCGGGTCACACCATCAGCAAAAGTAGACAACCCAAGGTATTCAATATAGGGTCGTCTTTTTTTTTTTTTTTTTTTTTTGGGTCCAAGTTTAGCGTTCATATTTTTTTTACACAAAACTGCTCTTTCACTGATATCATAGTCTTGATACATTTTAATGTTTTAAAACACTCATATTTGTGTTCAGCGAAGTCTGCCGAGTACCCCCATGTACAGGTTTTATGGTATCTTACAAAGTTACATGGTTAAATATACGGCTTGCAAACTAAATTATCTAGACTTTCTGTCTGGGTTGTAAGACAGGTCTTTCAGATTGTAATTACTTAACTCAATCATGTAAAAAGATGATATATAGTAGAATTGAAATGTGTATGTGCGCAAGTTTTAAGTTTTTATTAATATAATGTTTTTAGATTTTCTCACTCCTTTTGGATGGTATGTATATATATATATTTTTTTTTTAATTCTTTATTTTTGTGTGCACAAGTTAAACAAACAGTCTTCTCATACCTCGTCAATAAAAACAGGCATTTCAAGAGGTATGGCATTTTGTGGCATACGATGGTAGTGCACATTTTTTTTTTTTTTTTAACAAGAATCAGGCCATGAGGTTTCATATACAGTATACATTTGTTATAGGTTAAGTATGATAAAACAGGATTATACTGTTGTTGTGAGTAGCCAATATAATATTATAATCGCCTGAGGGTGCTTTAAGTAGGATTGCTAGGTTTAACAATGGCAATATATGTCACTCAGTTTTTAAAAAGAAAATAAGTTTACAAGATAGCAAACATGTGATTGCACAGCTCTTAAATGAGAAAGACAGGCAAAGCTCCCTGTGGTGACTTGTTAGCGGTGTGGTAGTGTACAAGTGAGTGGATTTGCCTCAGGGTCTAAGAGCGTTAGACCATAGCGGGATAAGTATGCGTTTAAAGGCCACAGCTCCTAAGTTCAGCTCCCTAGTATATAGGCTCAGGATATGTTAGTGTCGGGCTGAGGTGAGCTTGGGTCTGGGTTCCCGGTTCTGGGTCCCCTGATTAACGGCCAAAGGCATTAAAAAGGCCTATATATATTAAGGCTCCTTAACCCCGCAGTCTGGGGGGGGGTCGTGTAAGTATGTGCTATCTGTAACTGCAGCATTAATGCGTCACCCCTGTGTCCTGTGGATTGTGTCAGGTTGGAGGACCTGTATGGTCGGGGTGTCGTGCGGTTCGTGTGTTAGGTGCGAGCAGTCCACTGACTAGGTGGCCTACTCCTGGCGCGGCAGTAGGCGCAGAAATGCATAGCTGAGAAACAAAATGTATGTAACCGCAACCGGTGGAGGGCATTGCACATGACAGTGTAGCGTAAACATAAATAAGTCCAAACAAAAATAGAACTAGCCGGTACATCCATTAGTTCCTTTTGACGGAAGACTTTTCCCATATTAAGAACCGGATGGGTGCATAGTGCTGCTTCCCGCTGGGGCTGTCGACTCCGATGGGGTGAACGGAGTTATATTGGCGACATCCCATCGGTGTGTCGTATTCCTCTTGGCGCCTGCCACTGGACGAATGCCTAGAGCTTGTAAAAATCGTGGTGCTTCCTCTGGCGCTGTCAGTTTGTGGTTTTGCCCGTCTTGTGTGGCAATTAGCGTGCGGGGGTAGCCCCATTTATATGGAATGTCCGCCGCCCTCAATTGAGTTGTGGTTTCTTTCAGTGTTGCCCGCCACTGCAGCGTCTGGCGGCTCAGGTCCTGGTAGAAGTGTAAGGTAAGGTCTTCGAAAACGTACGGGGTCTGGCTCCTGACCGCACGGAGGAATCCGTCTTTGTCTGAGCGGGATTTGAAGCTCATTATGACATCCCGTGCGGAGGCGTTGTTTGGGCACCCTGGTATGCGGAATAGGCTATCTAGGGTCAGTCCTTTGGCCTGTTTGGGTGGTAGGGCCGTTTGTAACAGTCTCTTTATGAGGAATGGCAGTTCATCCGCCGTCACAGTGTCTGGGATCCCCCTCACCTTGACATTTCTCTGTTGCGCCATATCTTCGAGTTGCCCTACTCGGGCGTTTAGCTGGGAGCATGAGGTTGTGAGCTCGAGCGTTTTCTTTGTCGTGGCATCTTGTTGGACTCTCAGGTCCTGGACTGCGTCTTCCGTGGCTCTCATTCGGCCTGTAAGTGTGCTCAGCTCCGTCTTGAGGCCTGCCAATTCTGCCGTGAAGAATACCTTGAGGTCAGTCACCATGCCTGTTAGGTCAGCCTTAGTGGCTAGTGGCGGTTCTGACTGCCTTGGTGGCACTGTTTGTTGCTTCCTTTGGGGTGTCGGGGTCGGCATATCACTCAAGTATTCATCCTCTGAGGCAGAGAGTGATTCCATCCCCATGGTGTGAAAGACGTCCGCCATTTTGGGCCTGCAGGCCTGGGACAGGAGTTGCCCGATGTCCTGGGTATGTCCCGCGGACGACCCTCGGGGTTTTCGTGAGTGTTTCCCCATATTGTGCTGAGTCTCTTGCAGCCTTTCCCCGGCTTTTGGAGGTGTATTTTACGGAATCCGTGGCTATTTTGCCGCTGTAATGTCGGAGCTTGGGTTTCATGCGTCTTGCAGGCTCGGCTGCTAGCTCCGCCCCGGATGGTATATATTTATAACTCATTCTCACGTCCTCTACCAGAGGCATGGTAGACTGAGGGTTCTGTGCAATATCTTAGCTGTTCCTAGGAATGGAATGTTCCACCTGGATTCTGTTGAATCCACTTTCCCAACTTGGGAGTCATAGCCCCAAGTGCTCTTTTCACACTGGGACTACTACTCCCTTCACTTTCCATCCATATCCTTTCTAGCTCTTTTCTCAGTCCTAGGTATTTGTCCATCTTCTCCTGTTCTGGATCTGAAACTCACATAGAATCTTAGCCCTGTCATTCTCAACTACCCTTTGTGGTATCTCCGATCTGGACTTAGGCAGGTCAGACCCACTATGTGCTGGATGGTCTGAGGCCTCTACAGCATAAGAACAAGCACTCCGCACCATATCTATAGATTTCATTCTAAGCATATTTTGATACATACATACTACACACACACTGGTGTGTGTGTGTGTGTGTGTGTATGTATATGTATGTATATATATATATATAGAATAGTATGTGTGTGAATATATATGATCTAAGTATATTTTTGTCATTAATAAGGTGTTTAAAACTTTTTATTAACTTTATTTTCAGCTCTGGGGGAAATGCCTGACATCCCAGGCAGTCCTCCTGCACTGCCGCAGGCGGCTAATCCTGCCATGTGATTGCGACGATCAAAGGGGATCAGGTATGTAAAAATAATGGTGGGGACGTACCATGCCGCCCGGCGGTGTTTAGCCCTTCCTCCTGAAGCATGGCGTAGCACGCCCTCCAAACTTAAGGGGTTAAACCATGCAAATGTAAACATTGCCGTTCTGCAGAACAGCCAGGGCCAGATTAAGAGCCCAGTGGGCCTGGAGCTGACAATTATGATGGGCCTAATTACAGAATATTATCGACCAAAAACACTAAAACAACCATCCATCCCTCCAACCTCCCAAGCGTCATGTATCTGATGGAGGGAAACTCAAAGGATGCGGCTATAAGAAAACACATACTCTATGCTAATCTCTCTCTAATTTATGTTTTCATCTTTTAAGTGAATCCATACCCCCTAACAGCAGTGTGCAGGTGAACATTTCCAAAAAGGGGGCATGTTTGTCCAAAGAATTGGAAGGCCAGCCTGGCATGAATGCATGTCAGACTGCCTGCCATCATGCAGGCTGTCCAACTAAGGGCATACTATGCAGGAAGCACCCTGAGCTTGGCATAAATGTGTCTAGTGATGCGCTCGCTCAACGCTTTCTAAGGACTGTCCCCTAGCACTCACATGTCCACTTGTCTTCTTACTAGCAGGCAGAAGTTCCTGGTATATAGTCTGGGACAGAGTAAAGGTGGATGTAGTGAGTGTAGAAGAAAGGGGACATGCCACAGTGTGAAAGAAACCAAAGTCTGCATTACCTTAAAGGGACTCTTCAGGCAGAGGATTTTACTCACCTGGTTCCAGCGCCGGGAGCCTCGTGAAGCCGCGCCCCCTATTTAGTCAAAATGACGAAATAGGCGGGCGCGAGCAGGGAGCAATCAGACGCTTCCATTTGGAAGCGTCATTGCTCCCTTGTGCGCATGCGTGGCTTCGCCGCACATACTTCATAGGGCGGCATTCATGCCGCCCTCTGAAGTCCTGAGCACACTACCGCGCATGCGTGCGGTGTGCGCGGCCGCAAGCTGATCTGACTGACAGCTCAGCTCGGGGTCTTTGCCCGCCCCCTCTCCTCTGCTGACAGGCAGGAGAGAGAAGGCGCGCACACAAACTACGTCTGACGTGTACAAGGCCTTTTTAGAGCCCTACATGATAGGAAGTCCCTCCGGTGGCCGTCTGAGTGACGGCCACTGGAGGTATTCCTATCAATCAATGTAAACACTGTATTTTCTCTGAAAATACAGTGTTTACATTAGATTGCCTGCAGGGAGCTATAGATCTCACCTGAACAACTACATTAAGTTGTAGTTGTTCAGGTGACTATAGTGTCACTTTAACTGATTTTATTGTCAGCCAGTCTACACAAGTTGTGTTGCCATACATCCTTCTTAAGCTTCCAAACTTAAAGGGACACTATAGTCACCAGAACAACTACAGCTTATTGTATTTGTTCTGGTAAGTAGAATCATTCCCTTCAGGCTTTTTGCAGTAAACACTGTCTTTTCAGAGAAAATAACTCCACTGGCCACTCCTTAGATGGCTGCTAGAGGTGCTTCCTGGGACAGTACTGCCTTGCATGCAGACACTGAACTTTCCTCATAGAGATGCATTGATTCAATTTATCTTTATGAGGAGATGCTGATTGGCCAGGGCTATGTTTGACTTGTGCTGGCTCTGGCCCTGATCTGCCTAGTTGACAGTCTCAGCCAATCCTATGGGGAAACATTGTAATTTGCTCAGACCACCACTTCTGATGATGTCAGCAGACAGTCAGTTCAGAGGCAGAGCCAGCAGCTGCAGACATGACATGGGGGCACTGAGACACTTGAGGACACTGGGAGACATGGGGACACAGACATTTGAGGACACTAGGCGAAATGCGGACACTGAGACACTAGAGACACAGAGACATGGGGAGCAGGGGGACATGGGGACACTGTGTCCCTAGTGTCTCTGTGTCTCCCAATGTCTCCGTGTCTCCCTATGTCTCAGAGTTCCCATGTGTTTTAGCGTCCCCGTGTTTCCCAGTGTCCCCAGGTTTCCCCCAGTTTCTGTGTCCCCATGTCTCCCTGCTGCCTTTTCCCCCATCCCTCACTTACCTGAGCTGTAAAGCTGCTGTCTGGACTCTCTGTGCTGTGTAGCTGCTCCCCCGCAGATCAGTGAGATATTAAGATACCTGCATTTGTATTGCCGGTATTACTGCAACACCGGAGTAGTGTGTAAAAATGGGCCTATTCCATGGGCCTGGGCTTGGAGCTGCAGCTCCATCAGCCCCTATGTTAATCCGGCCCTGAGAACAGCAATGTTTTATTTTACAGGCACACAAAACACTTCATGGAGATGAAGTGGTCTGTAAGCCTATAGTGTTCCTTTTTTATATATAAATATACTGTATTTTTAATTTTCCATTGTTTTCAAGACATAAGAAGAGATTAAACAAATGTATATACCCAAAAGTAGAAATAAGTATCAACAGACAGCGTAAAACACAGTTTGCGTGTGCATTATCATGTGTCAAGAGAAAATATAATAAACATACATAGAACAAACAAAGCCCAGCTTTGAGAACATAAGCTTAGATACGGAATGGTATCCTTTCATTTTTGTTCACATACGGTGTATTTACTTCTTAATAAGGTGACTGTAAATAAAAGGGACACTATAGTCACCTGAACAACTTCAGCTTAATGAAGCAGTTTTGGTGTATAGAACATACCCCTGCAGTCTCACTGCTCAATCCTCTGCCATTTAGGAGTTAAATCCCTTTGTTTATGAACCCTAGTCACACCTCCCTGCATGTGACTTGCACAGCCTTCCATAAACACTTCCTGTAAAGAGAGCCCTATTTAGGCTTTCTTTATTGCAAGTTCTGTTTAATTAAGATTTTCTTATCCCCTGCTATGTTAATAGCTTGCTAGACCCTGCAAGAGCCTCCTGTATGTGATTAAAGTTCAATTTAGAGATTGAGACACAATTATTTAAGGTAAATTGCATCTGTTTGAAAGTGAAACCATTTTTTTTTTTCATGCAGGCTCTGTCAATCATAGCCAGGGGAGGTGTGGCTAGGGCTGCATAAACAGAAACAAAGTGATTTTACTCCTAAATGACAGTGAATTGAGCAGTGAAATAGCATGGGAATGATCTATACACTAAAACTGCTTTATTTAAGTAATTTAGGTGACTATAGTGTTCCTTTAAGCCATAACCTTCATAATGTTCAAATCGTATTCCTTCTTGATGGGGTTGAAAACCTTGTTACAAAATTGTCTGTGGTGCCCCCTGTGTTTTTTTAGAACCAGCATTTCTTCAAGGAGACTACACCCTAGCAAGCCATATATGTTCATGAACACCGTAACCAAATGTGAATGACGTGGAAGGACCAGAAATTTAGACAGCCCATTCTGTGGATTCCTCTCCATCTCCTACTTCAAGAGCTTTGTAGGTCCCAGCATTTATGCTTTTAGGAATCATACAGGAGTTGGTGGTGTTTTATTAGTTTTTACACTTTCTCAGTGACGCCATTTTTGTCTGACATTTATGGGGCCCAATTATTCTCTGTAGCCCTTATACAGATGAAAAAGAAAATGCTGTATAAAGATACACTGGGGAATTTCAAGCAGTTGGACTGGATATACTGGTTACAAGGTAGGACTAGATGATGAAAGAGCAATGACTATTTGCATTTCAAGACATTCTACATTATATCATCCCACATCGAGTCATTTTTGCTTTCGGATATAGAATTTTTAAATCACATTATCCCGAATAGTTGACTTAGATTCTTCAGCTTTGACCCTCCAAACTTGTTTTCACACTTGTCTGTCTAATGTTCATAACTTTCTATTAAGCTTACAAGACTTTTTTCCAACGCGAACTAATACATCCGGGACTCGCAGCTACTGGACCTCACTGTCTCCTTCCCCATTTTTCAAACATTATTTCAGAACTCCTATGTATACTAGTCCAAAATTAGGAATCTCCTTCCTAAATAAGGACACTTTGGAGGTATGATAATGTCTTTAAACTACAATATTGGATATCAGCCTGTGTAAATAAGATGCTTTGATTTTGCTCTACATTACATTTTAGTTGCCTACAATTTCTCAAAACAGCCTGGACCTGGCCACACACCAACACCC